GGGGGCGGCGTCCCTGCTGGACCGGCGCGCCGCCCGGCGAGACGGCGTCGCGAGGCTGGAGCTGCACGAGCTGGCCGCCGACAGCTTCCTCCGCGGCGAGCTGGCCGCGCTCTTGACCGACGGGCGCGGAGACAGGCCCGTCGGGAGGACGCTGCCGTCTGCGCTGGCCACTGCCGCCGGCGGCTGTGGCAGCGCCCGCCTGTTGCCCCCGCTGGCCAGGAGCATGGACAGGATCTCCTGCTCGCTAAAGGGCGACGACGACAGGTCGGCGTCCTTGTCGCCGCGGGCCCCCGGTGTGAGCGGGCTGCCCTCCGTGGGCGAGTGGCCGCGGTCCGCGGCAGCAACCCACTCGGCCTTGGGTGTTTCGCAGGCCGGCAGCGCCGTTGCCTCCGAGTCGTCGCTGCCGACCGAGTCTGACGTGAAGCTGCAGTCTGGCTGCGGTTCCGGCATGGGAGGCTGCTGCTCCGGCGCGCGCTTGGCCGCCACGTCGCCGGATCCCATGGTGCGCGAGGCCCGCAGCGTCAGGGGGCGCGGCGGCGCAACCTGGAGATCGAGGCCGCGCCCGGGGCCGCTCTTGGAGTTGACCGACAGCGGCCGCAGTGGCTGGGAAATGGGAGACGTGTTCGCCCGGGTGGTGAGCACGCTTGGGCTCATCGTCTTGGTGCGCCTCAGCGGCCGGGGGCCGGCGGGCTGCTCCTGTTTCTGCCTGACGTGACGACCGCGGGCGCGGCCGTTGTCGGTGAATGGGTCGTCCCCTGCCGTCAGCGCCTGCAGTTCTTCCTGCCGATATCTCTGCTGCTGGAGGAAATACTGCCGCTGGATCTCCTGCTCCTCGCTCTCGGGCTCCCCGACGCTGTACAAGGTGGACAGGGAGCTCGACTGGTCACTGTCGGCCGACTGTCTCTTTGACGGACTTTTCTGAGGGCTGCTGCGCTGCGGGCTGCGCTGCGGGCTTCGCTGGGGACTCCTTTGAGGGCTGTCACTCCTATGACTTGGACTCTCCAGCCCTGGCAAGCTCGGCGGCAGAATCTGATGGTCCTGGGGCTCCCATTCCCGCCCCCGAAGGCGCCGGGGACTAGGCATGCCTTCTGGGAGTTTAAGTTCCTGCGTGGCTTCGGCAATCAGACTGTTTGCCACGCTTCCAATCGAAGCGGCCGAGGCCTGAGTCGGCAAAGAGGCCGTGTTCCCGGACTTGCTGGGGCTCGGGGTCCCCCTATTATGCCGCCCAGCTGCCCGCCCCGATTCGGACTTGCGGCTCGACGGAGTCTTTGCCGGCGATGTACGAGTTGGCGACGGTTGCGGCGTGTCTTTGGCAGGGGATCGGCTGGATCCCTCCCGCAGACGCTGGTCAGTCGAGCGCAAGATGTCCCTCAGCCCCATCTCCGTCATGGTCACGGACGGCCGCACATGTGCCTGGGCCGGTGTACGCACGGCAGACTGACGACCCCTCGGAACATCGTTTTGTGAAGACAGGTTCGGCGTCGTCTGGCTGGTCGGGAGGGTGCTTCCACTCCTCCGTTTCTGCACATGTATCGCCTGCGGTTCCTGATGATACGGTGGGTGGTTCTGAAACTGGTACGGTTCTCCCTGCTGCTGCTGCTTCCGGTACTCCTCGTACGACGGTCTGTGCTGGCTGTTCTGCCGTCCAGCATCACGTATCCCGTCGCCGCCCTCCTCGGCAGCCCTGAGGTTCGGCACCGTGGGAACCTGTCGAATCCAACTATCCCTGCTAAACCAGCCGTCTTTCGAATCTTTCTTCACACTCGGCCCATGGAATTCCTCGCCGTTGAGCCAGCTCTTCCTCTCTGCACGCCGCTTGCTGGACGATCGGAAAAAATTGAGGTTATTGTACGACAGCATGGGAGGCAGCGGGATTATTGGTGGCAGTGTAAGTGAGAACCGAGAGGACAGTCGGCTCGGAAGCCTGCCGACGGCCGATTCGGTCATGACGAGCGGTCGTTTTGTCAGACGAGTCTTGGAGTATTCATCGGGCATCGTGTACATTCTTTTCGTCGTTCGCCTCTGACGGACCTTGACTCTCCATGCCATGAACAGGCCGACGGATGTGAATAACACTATGCCGCCACAGAGCGAAATGGCGAGCAACCCTCCCAGGCTCAGTCCGCCCGAGCCACCATCTCTCTTTGGAAGAACCGAAACATCCATCATGACTTGTTCTTTGTTTTTTTTCCTTTCCCTTCTCAGACGACTTGGGGCATTGGAGGGTACTCGACGCCCGTCTCGTTGACTGGCCAAATTGACGCCGACTACCACTGGTCGGTCGACGAGGCTTGGTTTCAGTCGCCGTACTGCTGCTTCGTTAGTATGGCTGGGAAATCTAGCACGCCAGCTTGGTCAGGGAAAATTTTGTCATTTTGTTTCTCTGGGCATAAACATTGGTCAAGCTCCTGGGTGGTGTTTGGGTCTGTCCCACTCCAGCAATTCGAGGAATGCGTTGCCAGTGTGACTTCATTCCAGTTGTCAGCAACACCACCCTTCATGCTCTTGCAAGCAGCTGCTTTGCCAATGAAAAAATTGGAGCTCCACTCATCAACTTCTTTGGGTGCTCATGTGGTAACAATGCGAGTGCATTCAAAGAATGAAAGTCTGTTGTGCTTATGTCTTGTTACATTGTCAGTCAAGGTCAGCCCACGCCGCACTTGGCGCCCGACGTCTCGGCCTCGCGGCTCGCATTGCAACAATTGAATTTGGGCACGTTGCTTGATTTAACCCCTATAGTTACCAAGAAGAAACGGTAGCATCTCTGCTCTATGTAAAGAAAAAAACAAGTGAAGCCAACTATGATATCAACCATACAACACGAATGTGAGCCCATATTTCTGGAACCCGCCCAGATGGCACCAATGTTCCCCTACCAGAAAAAAAAAAGACTGCGAAAAAACACAACTTTAAATCAGCAACGTTATTTTACCGCTTTAATTTTGTTATTTTAAACTCCATCAAAATTTGCCATGAACATGTCCATGGCGCATGTGGCGACGTCGATGGTCGTGAGCCCTGGCAGGTGTAGGAGCAGGCGAGTTGCCGTAATCCGTAACGGTAACCCACTTCTCAACCCAGAGAATCTGGGTTACCTGGTTGCCATTGGTGATGTACTCGGTGCTGTAATAGCTGGGCTGAACGGACGGTGTTGTCGGAGGCGGCGGGGGAGGTGTCACGGAAGTGGTCGTCGGCGAAGGTACCGATGAAGAAGAGGGGGCGTTTTCTTTGAAAGCCAGGCCGGGGAGAGGAGAGACCGCAGCCGATGGCTTGCTGACCGGACTCTGGGCGGAACTGGAGGCGGAACTGGAGGCGGCCGGTTTAGAGGCGGCAGGAGGCTTCTTGCCGTGATCGCCACTACCAACCTGGCCAACCTTGATGCCTCCAGGCAGGTTGGCCATGGGCCCAACCACATCCTCAGCAAACAATGCCTTCAGAAGTGGCTTCTTGATCTTACAAGAGGTTGCCTTCTCCTTGTCGACGACGTCGAAGATATGGCAATCCTGAATAAGGCCGGAGAGGTCGGTGCACTTGTTGATGGCTCTTTGGAGGAATTCGGGATCCCAACCCGTCATGAAGTCGCCATGGTATCCATATCCTAGCCTCGTTAGTATACAAACGTGTCAGCTGTTACTGCAACAGAGAAGACTTACCAGTAGTGTCTCCATTGGAGACGACAAAACGGCCGTCACGGTTCTTGAAGGCATAGGTGTTCCAGATGGTCTCGTAAAGTATGCTGGGCGTTCGGACCGGGTACCCTTCCGGGCAGGTACCCGTCATGACCTGGTCAGGGAAAGCCATATGGCTCTTGTGGTCCTCACTGTCAATGGCATTGCCGCCCTTCCAGCAAGACGGGAACATGATCTCGAATCGGACACCGTCGGTACAGTCCTGGTCCAACTCGGCCTTTGGCGGAAGGTAGTGTCGATACAACGTCTGTTCGGGGTTCTTGGCATAGTTGAGACAATTGAAACCAATCGCGCGTTGAGCCAGAGCTTCCTGCGTGGTCTGGCCAAGGCCAGCCCATTGTGATCTATCAGGATCTGGTTGCCTTGCGTCTCCCAGCGTATAGGTTCGTCTATCGTTGTCTCCAGAAATCATTTGGAATCCTGGAGGAAAGGCGGTGATGTTATCTCCGTAAAGGAGATAGTACCTAACAGGACAGTCAGGGGCTATTTGCAACTGGCGTATCGTCGTGCAGCATAGGACATCACTTACGCAAGCATTCCGCCAACTTGGGGGACGATTTCGAATTTCTCGGTTTTGGCGTCTTGGAAGTAGATAGTGGGAGTCCAGTAGGCGGACTTGTCTTGAGTAACACGGCATGAAGTGCAATTGCCGTCAAGTAGGTCGGCGGTGGTCGCGCTTTCTGAGAAGCCTATCGCTCACGTTAGTATTCACGTCGTGTTCCTCACATTGCTCCACCAAGAGCAACTACACCAGGGATGTTTTCTACAGTCTTCTTTCGAAGTGGAGGTTCCTCTCTACAACACCGCAAGCCATCTGCTGACAAGGATTATCCACCGCAGTGAACAGTCCCGTCTGGCGCTGTGAGATCACCCAAAGGCTGCGAAAAGACAAAATCCAAGCTCGGAAATGACGTACCATTGGATCCATGGATGGTGTGTGCGTGAGGAGAAGCTTCGTTCGGGTTGATGATTGGGTCCATTCGAGCAAGACCAACTCGACCAGGACATTCCATACGCCAAAAGGCGTTGGCGCCTGCGATGAGGCCTGCAGACAAGGCCACGGATTTGAGCATTGCGAATACCAGCTCTTGAGGTTGGGACCAAATTCAGAAACTATCAAGGCACTCGGGCGGTAGGCGGATGAGGTTTGTGCTGGTGGAATAATAGAAGTCGCAACAGAAACGTCTTTCTATGGAACGAATGTTAGCCGTCTAATAAAATCCGTGTTGAATCGGCGGTTGCTCGCAGACGAGAGATGACAAAGGGAGGCCGGGGAGAAAGAAGAGTCCGTCAAGCAAGTGAGAGAATCGACAAGAAAATCTTGAGGTGACCAGAAATAGCACCCGAGGCAGGCGCAGGCGGCCAGCACTTGCTGGGAGGAGAGGGCACTTGGGCACATTTGAGGCACCAGGTCTACACTGAATGGCCGGCAAGGCAGGCGCAATACTTGACGCCTGATGCCTTAAATTCTCGCAGGTGCCGACAGCTGGCAGTCGGCTGGTCAAATCCATCCGCAGTCCCCTCCTCGGGTTTGGGTGTCGGTTTACATCTTCCACGTTTGCTTATGCCGCTTGACATATCACGCCTCGACAGGTCCTTCGATGCAGGGGCCATGGGTTATTGTCGCTATTGGATATCCTCCGTTCCCAACGCACAAAAGAGAAGCCAATCCAGGGTGTTCGACAAAGCATGTAAGCGCATGGGCTGGCAGACATCTCGAGCCTCTTACCAAGAACAACGTCGGGTCGGTATTCGCACAAATACAAACGTCTTCCTGAGACTTCTTGCGACAAGAACTCAAAACAAGAAGTAAAAAAGGCATTGCCTGCTTGCAACCAGTTCAGTGAAATTGGAAATACTCCTCAACGAGTTGACAGAACGTCTTTATCGGCTTCCAACTAGAAGCCTGGGCTTCAGCCCAACCCCGCGGTCGCGCGCCGAGACTTTGAATTCCAGCGAGAGGCACTACCTCAGGTGGGCTGTACACCATTCTTCGCGCGCCTTGCAACGCGTAAAATGGCTGGCAATTGTGTAGACCTTGGCTCCGCCAATTATGACATTTGGCTCTTTAGCCAGTGCCGTTGCATCCGTGTTGTCGTCGAGGCGGTGGTTGACAAAGACTTGGTCGGTTACATCACACCACCTGCAACTTTGGCGACTGGCCATTTGCGGCAGCATCATCGAAAAGACTAGTCTGAAAAAGACTGTTTTTTTTTTTCGATTTATCCGGGGTGTTTATGATCTGTTCCTCAGGTATCGATATCTCCGGTGTCTCTCTGTTGCAAATAACGGGTTCTCTTCGCGCGAGTCGATACGCACACGGCCGTTACTGAACTAATACACGAACGAGCACTCAGTTCTTACCTAGTGGTTACAGAAGGATAGAGCAAACTTCAAATAATACAGAAAATCCGAAAAGGAAAAACGAGAGTGGTCAACAAGTCGATAGTAATGAGCGCAAATGGTCAGAATGACCTAGAAAGGTAGGGAAGTGAACGTCAAGATCGTGAGTAGTTTCTTCTACCAAAAAGAGAAGGCTCGAATACTTCAAAAGGAAGGGAGGTCCTCTATACCGGGGAGACAAACGAAGAACCTGGCTCCCTACTACTACCACTCTCGGACACAGGAGAGGCCAGGCCTAGCCGGACACCAGATGTTTGTCTGGGGTTACGTGGATGTCCCGAGCAAAATTACAACAGTTCCAAGGGTCAAGCAGCATGTACATCATGTGTGTACTGGAAAAGGCCCCCGAAGCGCATATCCTTCTTGGGGTTCGTCTCCTTGGCAGCGCGGACCTGAATTCTCCTCATTCCGCTATCAGTAACTAGTACACCGCCAATGCTGATTAAAGGGTTGCGATTGGAAGTATCCAATACACTCAGCGAACCAATAGTCCAGGGAGGAGGTTGGATGGTCTTGCATAGATCTGAACAGGGGTCCCAAGGGGTAGCGGTAACCAGCCCTGATTGGTCTGATGACTTTAAATGCTACGTGCCTAGTACTTATTTGTCGTTGTAGGTGTCTCGAAAGGGGCTGGCTCGTTCAGACAGGCTGCATGTCGACAGGACCTGTGTGTTGCGAGGCGCTTGAACTTGGGAATTCAATAAAATTCCGCGCAATTCTTTGGTCCTTCACATTTCAATTGTTATACAGTATGGCTAAAGCAATCTTGGGAGCCAGAGATGCCAGGAGTTGTCCCAATATCGAGAGCGCCGTTTGCACGGATGAACGCGAGTCTCACTCTACGAGGTTAAATCCCGTCTTTTCGACATGCAAATCGCCCTGCGGTTTTAATTTGCCTCGTCTACTCCCTGCCGCTGGGCTGCGCTCGAAGGATTAGCGCCTGCGCCCACTGGTAGGGATTGCAGGGATACCAAAAGCACACTTGTTCTTCATGACGCAAGTGTGGAGTTTAAAGCCCCTGCAAGTATGGCACATACCAGACGGTGGTTATTGATTGTTGCCAGCGATTCAAAATAGCACTTGTTGGTCATGCCCGCTGGGCGCCAGCCACTTGTCAGGCACTGCTGCAAAGGCAAATGGATCAAACATGGCGTTTTGATGGCGGCCAATTATTCTACATGCTCAGTGAAGCAAATATCAGGGGCCGTGCGGAGATCGATTCCTCCACTCTGTTCTCCGGAACTTGAAACTCGGCTGAGACGGAGGGTGTGGCCAGCCAATCCGCACCAAGATATGAACTCCGTAGAGTCCCCATGAATTCCTAGGCGATTGAATGCAACACGGGTTCAGTCGCCGAGGGACCTGCTGATGATTGACAGGAGTCCAACCGGGCAGAAGATCGATCAGATGGACATCTGATGTTCATGACAATCACGCAGGTCCGCATAATGAATGACGTCTCCTCCTGGATATGAAGTACTATTTTGTACAAGACGATCCTAGACGGATTGCATTTGCTAGTACGGAGTACTACTCAGGTACGGTGGTTGGACACAGTCATCATGGTTAAATGGAAACTTCAATACTTGCGGGCCATGGCCAATCATACATTTGCGCTAGTGATGAAAATGAATGCCCATCACCTCACGTGGAATTCAAACGGTTCATGAACCTATCGATCTCCTTCTACTGCATTGCCGACGCAAGAGCACAGACTGTCTCTGTTTCGGGTCCCCAGCAAACATCGAAACCAAGGGTAGACAGGATGACTCTTGGCCGTTTGCTCATTGGTGTGTGCGATGTTATGTACATGTATGTACTATGTTGTACGTTCTCCGTCCTTGCACGCAGTGAAACTCTGCTCCGTGTACTCCGTACATGTCTCGGACCCATCTGTTGGTGGCGTTTGAAGAGAAAAGCGTTTGTGTGCCTTGGATTTAGGCTCGCTGCTCAAGCCCGTGCGTCTCAAACAACAACCCTGTCTCCAAGTCAGTGGATGTACTTTTTAGTCATCATACAATTCCCTGGTATTTCCTCTGTTGCAGGTATTGGCTGGTAAGAAAGAGGGAGAGCCCGTTGGAAATGAGGCGGATCTCGTGTTGTGAACAACACACCAGTCACCAGTCACGACTGTCTGCCTCCCTGACAGGGTCGCAAAAAAAGACGCAGGCAGAGATCAACAAAGAGCTCGGGGCTGTCACCCAGCAGCCAAATAAAGTGAACAAGCCCGTCGATGCACCGAGCAAGCCCGAGAAAACCTGTTTGGCCCATGTCTTGCCATCAAGAGAGGAAATTGCAAACAATAGATGGTGGAGTCGTTGGTACAAGGTCCATTCGACGGACAATCTGAATGTGATAGTACTAGTACTAGTACTAGTACTCCGTAGAAGCCAGCATCATTTTGGCTCCACTTACCAAGAAGAATTACAACGCCATTTAACTGCGATACGGAATATTGTACGTACACACGGAGTAATCCGCACTTCGTACATGTAGAACCAGAATCAATCCATGCGAAACTATGTATGTACGTCTTGCAGTGATGGGCAGGGGGGAATCTTCCGCCATTAAAGCCGTGGCTTTCTAGATGTCTGGTGCATGTCATACCACCCTAAGGGTCTGACTAGCAGGGTTGATTAGAAGAGAATGCAGATGTGTGTTGCACGCAAAATCTACCGCGGTGGTCATGTACATGTCGTAATTTGTGTCTTCTATCAGACAGAATAATAGTATTATAATGTGAAGACCACATCGCCAGTTCGCCATCATTTTTATCAGCATATTGATGAAATGTATAATGGATAAAGTATAGATTGGTGAACCCAGTGGTTATTTAATAGATGATTCATTGTATATAATGTTACAAGCAGTGGGTTTAGGGTAGGTGAGTGGCCATGATAGGAGTCAATTGCTATACTAAGCTACGATGCTCACCACACGTTGCTGCGAGACAAATACGGGGCAGCAGGGCCACACTAGACTCAAAGAAAATCCATCTCATAGCTAAATCACTGCGACAATGCAATCTCTCGAACAACTCTTTACCAAAGGCAAGGTAGCCCAGATAGTATCACGAAATGCATGAGCCACCTGTGGCACCCCCTTCCCTATAATTGGTCAGCATTTGTACTGCGCCACAGCAATACATGTGCAACCGCCACGCGACATCAACCGACCTGAAGCTGGAATGTGCACGACTCGAGCATACGACAATACTATTGCTCCGCACATTCCGCGTAGCTGCCCATACAATGCATTGAGCTGGCAGCGCCTTAGTGATGACTGATGAAAAACTGCGCTTTACGATTTCTTCACGATGGACGATCTCTCGGGCCTTGATTGGTCCAAACCGACGGGCTCGCAACCCAAACAACCCTCCATGTCGATTCCCATGAACTCGTCCTACCCAACATTGCGACCAACTCCGCCCCCGGCCGGTTCAGGACGTACTACGCCTTCGTCGACGTCACAAGCGCCGGGTGTTTCATCGCCATTGTCTAAATCTGCTGCCAAGCCAGCGCAGGACAGCTTCAGCAATTTAATGAACTTTGGCCCCGCGAAGGCGAAACAAAACCTGTCCTTGGCCGAACGACAAGCGCAACTCGAGGCTGAGAAGAGGAAGAAACAAGACGAGAGAAAAAAACAGGCGGAAGCGCAATTTGGCAGCGCGCAGCAATGGGATGCTTTGGGATCGCGCACATTTACTCCCAGCCCTAGCATACCCCCTTCCGCCGTGTCAAATGGAGCTGCCAACGACGACGACGACTTGTTTGCTGCCTTCAACAAAGATACCAAGGTGGACAATTCAAGCCACTACCCTCCCCCGACATCACTTCGTTCGACACCCCTCGAGGAGAAGAAGACGTTGGATTTGAGTAATCCAAGTGCTTGGGGTGCCTCGAGCATTCCTACCGACATCAATAATGACGCAAACGCGAATGGGTTTGACGATGACGATGACCCGTTTGGGCTGAACGATCTGAAGCCAAGCGGACAATCTACAGCCCCTGCACAAGCGACCGCGGGGGGTGATGATGATTTCCTTGGTGATCTGGCTAAGCCCGTTGAAGAAGTCCGTATGAAACAACAGCAGCAGCAGCAGTCCGAACCTGGTAAACCGATTGAGGATGACGATTCCACTTCATCAGAAGATGAACATTCACGGCCACGACAACAACAACGGGAGACCAGGGGAGACGCTGGCGTAAGCACGGCACTCGATCGAGCCGTGGCACAACTTGTGGACTATGGATTCTCTCCCGAGGATGCGCGACGCGGGTTGACTGAGAGCGGCGCGGGGCTTAATGTACAAGCCGCGGCAAATTGGTTATTGGATGATGCCCATAGGAAGGCCAAAGAAAACTCTCAAGGACGGAGCTCTTCGACCAGTTCCGGTCGGATTGCCAGCCCACATGAGCGTCAAGCAGGCGGTTTCTCTGGACGGGGTGGCGACTCTGACTTGACCAAGTCTGCGGCCACGGTGGGCAGCAGTCTGTTCAAAACTGCAAATTCGTTATGGAAATCCGGGCAGAAGAAGGTGCAGCGAGCTGTGGCAGACTTTCAACAAGACGGTGGCGATCCGAGTCAACCAAGGTGGATGCGTGACGCCCAACTCGGGCGAGGGCACGATGCTGGGCATGCCAGCCAGGATGCCACCGATGAAGCTATGGCTTTAGAAACTGGTGGCAGAACAAAGCCAAGCAGGACGAATAGCCGGCCGGCAGCCGACCGTCGACTAGGCTTGCAGCAGTCGCGAACATCATCGCCGTCGGCAACATCGTCTGGAAACCAGAGCCGAAATAGTCCCGTGCCCCGGTGGCAGCAGACTTCGTCGCCTTCAGTGTCTGACGCTAGATCAAGGCTAAATAGAATGAACATTGACGACGATGACGGCTTCTTTGTCAGCGCAAACAGAAGAAAGAAGACGACCCCTGCGCCAACAGAAGAGCCAAGACAGCCAGATGATGAACCGAATTTGCTCTTCAGCACCGAGGCGCCAAAGCCGTCGCAGCCGTTGCCCCAACATCCGGCGCAACGCCAAACCCCACCATTCATGAAGCAGTCGCAGGCAACGCCTCCGGCCTCGCAAAGGGTCACCCCAAAGCCGGCTCGACAAGCCCCTCCCATCGGCGCAGCAGCTCTTCAATCGTCTACCAGGCACCGGCTGGAAGGCTCTGCGCATTTCAAGCGAGGAGACTATAGCATGGCTCATTCATCATACTCTAATTCCATGTCTGGCATCCCGGATGGGCATCCGTTAATGATCATCCTTCTCACGAACCGTGCGCTGACGGCCATCAAGACGGGGGACACGAAACAAGCCGTCAGAGATGCTGACGAGGCATTGAAACTCATTGGTCCTGAAAACGGCCAAGGCGAAAGCATTGCCGTCCAAGGGGAAGACGGCAAGGACGAAACCAGAAACATGAAGGATCTGTACGGCAAGGCACTCACTCGAAAGGCCGAGGCCTTGGAGCAAATGGAGAAATGGGGCGACGCCCTCAACGTGTGGGAGCAATGCGTTGCAACGGGCGTAGGCGGGGTGACAGCCACCAAAGGTCGCCAGCGGTGCAGAGACATTGCCGCGCCGAGGCCCAAAGCACCGGCGCCAAAGCCAGCAGCGAAGCCGAGACCCAAACCCTCTGCGACGGCGGCCCTGTCCTCGGGAAACAGCTCCGAGGCAGTCACCAGGCTACGCGAGGCGAATGCGGCAGCGGCCAGGGAGGACGATGAGAAGTTTGCGCTCGCGGACCAGGTTGATGCCAGAGTGGGAGCGTGGCGGGACGGCAAGAGAGACAACCTGCGAGCCCTCATAGCCAGTTTAGACCAGGTGCTGTGGGAGAATAGCGGATGGAAAAAGGTCGGCTTGCACGAGCTGGTCGTGGCCAACAAGGTCAAGATTTCGTACATGAAGGCCATTGCCAAGACTCACCCGGATAAGGTAAGCTCTCGGTCCCTTTTTGTTTGTTGCCTATAGAGTTGCTAATTGGTGCCATAGCTGCCGCAGACCGCGAGCACAGAGGCCCGGCTTATTGCTGCCATGGTATTTGCTACCCTCAACGAAAGCTGGGACAAGTTCAAGGCGGAGAACGGACTTTGAAGTAGAAGAGTTGGAATACAGCATGATGAGGCATATGATAGACTATGAGCATGTGATTTTTTTTTCTTTATAAATATTACTATTCGCGTCGCTCCTTTCTGGAGCGGCAGTTGAAGAAGGACGGTACCGCCATTGTCGCTCTAGAGACAAAAAAAAAGAAACACCGTGGTATGCTACATGTACACGTTGCAGAATGACGAGGCACCCCCCTTCCTTGCATGGACATACATGGATGGCGTCCTTCTATAAGCCCAGCATGCGCCTGACACCGTCGCGGACCTTGTTCTCGTAGTCTGCCCGCCGCTCGCGCCACATCTTGGCCGCTTCGACGTTGGCGGGGCTCTCGTCGTTGGGCTCGGCGAGCATGCTCATGACGGAGATGAGGATCTTTTCGACGGACTGGATCGGGGACCAGCGCTCAGAGGCGTGCTCGTAGTGGTTCGGGTCGTCGCCGGGCGGGTGGAGGATGGAGATGCACACCAGGCCACTGGGGTAGACTGCTGCTTGTCAGCGATCGCGGGGAGGGCGGGAAAAGGCGCGCGAGGTTCATCAGGTACCGTACCGTTGGGGTGCCACATGTCGGCGAGGAACTTCATGGTCGGCGGCGCGAGCGGGTAGTCCTTGGGGAACTTCAGCTCGGCGGGGAAGACGCCGCCTTCAAAGGGCGTGCCCTCGGGGCCTTGGATGAGGCATTCCCAGTGGAGGAGGTCGTCCTCGGAGACGGGGCCGGCGGTGATGCCCTCGGGGGGGCTGTTTGTCAGGGCGCGGTATTCTTGGAGGAGGCGCCGGTGGGCGGTGGACTGGGCCATGGTGCCGGTGGTGAGACGGGCGTGGTGGTTGGGTCGCCGGGTTTGCGGGCTGCGGGCGAGGTGAGGTCGACGACGGCTGAACCGAGGCGGTGATGGATGGCGGGGCATTCATCGTCAGTGTTGGAATTGAGGGAGGCTGACGTAATTCCCGCCCGGGGGCGTGGGTCCTGTCGGCGCCGATTAATGCCGGTTGGCCGCACATGCTTGAAGTCACCGACACCTCACCGCTCTCCTTGTATTGGTCCAGTCACTCACTGCAGGTCTGATGCACAAATCGCAGCCTTGGAGGTCAACTGCTGTTGATACATACGGGAGCAGGAGCGGGCAGAGTTGGTCAAGGGCTGGCATACGCTTGTCACTTTGAGAATAACGTCATCTGGATGCTGTATCTTGGGCAAGTCAACCTCTTGGACCTTGACCTTGAATGGGCCATTGTAGTTGACGGCTTTCATGGTTGATGCCATGGCGGGAGGAATGGGTGTATTCGTCTTTTGCACGAGAGACGAAGGACTACGACAACCGTGGTGTTGCAACACGACTGGTGGCTTCTAAAAAGGAGTCTTTCGGAACAAGGGCGAGTCGTCTTTTCTCTTCTACGTCTTCGGATGCGGGGAAACTCGACGGGCGGAAATCTTGGCCTCTGACGTGGTAATGATACTTTGTCGAGCAACTAACTCGAGTTGACGCCAAGTCGGGATTGGCCAGTTTCCACATTGGGCAACGGCCTCTCGCTGGGCGACAAGATAAAATGTCGACGATGGCAATGTTTGGTGACTCGGTCGAAACTCGGCCACCCGGGCTACTGTCATTGTCAATTTAAAATGTTGATGTAAACTTGGTATTTTGCGCCGCTTTGTAACTTGCTGACCATGGGTCGTACAAGTCTGATGGTGAATGTTCTCGCTGTTCGGGACATGGACGAGGATGCCAATGTTGGGAATTGGACCCATATATTTCTCGGTTCAAAGGTGCGGAAGAGGTTATTATGTTTATGTCTTGCTCTTAATTAGCTCAGTTTCGTACTAGTAAGACAGGATGCAACAGCAATGTCCGCGGGGAGTCGATGAAATAGTTAGGCTCCCAGAGGTCGACGAGAGGCAACCTTTTGAACTGAAATCCTTCTTTAAAGTCTACTAGCAGCAGGAGTCGCTTGCACCACAAGGCGCGGCGTGCTCCAAGGCTTTTGGCAACCTCGGCAACGTCTTTGGGTACTTGCAAAGCAAGGCATGGAAACGCCTCAAATATTGATGCCAATGTGGTACAAACAAAGTGCCCAGGACCTGGATATGATGCTGGAACAGGCTCGCCAATCTCTGTCCATGGATGGCAACAAGAGCCCCTGGTATGATTCACCGTGCACACCTTCTAGATGCGGCCGAGCCCGTCTTGTACCCTGTTCAAGCGCCGGGTTTCCGATGGGGACATTCTGTACCGTCTGCAAGGTTGTGGCCCACCATTGGCGACATGTGTTAAGCGAGCTCAGGGATGTCTGCCTAGTGCAGAGCTTAAATGTGCTGCTGTACATGGGTCCTGTTGGTTGCTGCCAGAACCAAAAAGTTGAAAAGTTGTTTGAAAAACAGCAATCCGGGGCAACACGTCTTGCCAAGACGTAGGCAGAGGGAGGAGGCGGCTCGCCCGGTTCAACAAACAAGGTGCTACTGAATGATAGAAGTATGGTGGCAAATGGACAAATATCGAAACAATTCTAAAAGATGATAGCCTAAATACCAAGTTGTTATATAGTATAGTCCTTTATTGATAGTTTTCCACCACAAGAGACCAGTCAACACTCATACAAACAAGCATAAGACGTCGTGAAAATGTATTTTTAAAGTAGCACTATGTAATGAAATTGTAAAAATAGGTGGTAAACACCAGATCGCACTGAAAAAAGAAAAAACGTTCCAATCTACTAGTTACATGTAATCCATGGCGGATACCCGAACACAATCACTCTGACCCTTTCTAGAACGTGTCAGACAGGTGTCATTTCTTTCGGAAAATACTAAACAGTCGATGGTACGTCTTCTCAGGCGATAATCATGGCGAGGGTAGCGACAGTAATAGCGGCAATAACGCTAAAGGAAGTGCTAGCCGCGCCCGCAGTCACAGGTCCAGCGTTGGTTGGCGTGGCTACAGACGGCGAGTTAGAGAGCGAGGACGACAGGCTTCAAGAGGAGAGAAATCGTCAAAATCCAATATAAGAAATAGGCACACGCTAGACTACTTGTCTCGAGGATGGAAAAGTAGCAAACATACCTTTGGGAGCGGTGCCGGAGGCCGAGGCAACGCCCGAGGGGTGCGATGGTCGTGGGCTCGTGGTTCCGGTGGGAAGAGTATGAGGCGCCGAGGTTCTTGAGGGGGAAGAAGCCGCGGAGGAGGAGGCCGGGGGAGCCTGGCTAGAGCTTCCGCTTGGGGCGGCGGCGGAACTGGTAGGCCGCGAGACCGGGGAACCGGTGGTTGAGGCGGGTTGAGAGCTACTAGTACTCTACCTATGACGGTCAGTCGACCATTGGCGTCGTGCCTCGAACAAGAAAGGGCGGCGGGATACTTACGGCTGGGGCCTCGGCGCTGGTGCTGGCGGCCTGCTCAACCGTGGTCGAGCGAGCTTCCTGGGCGTTGAGCTTGCACTGGTTCTTGAAGACCAGGGCAGGGGGGTAGGGCGAGAAGCCTGCGAGGTTCTTGCAGGTGCCGAAGCAGAAGTTGACAAAGGGCTGGGCGTAGGGGTGGGTGCACTTCTCGCTCGCGGGCAGCCTGCTGATTCGCAGCACGATGCCTGTTGGACTGTTAGTGACGGAGCCTACGGCCGCTTCACGGCGTCTTTATTATGCTCGCGACTGACCGCACGATCCGTGGCACTTGTACTGATCACTGTTGGGGTGGTATCCCATCTCATAGCCCGCCATGTTCAGGTCAACCTCGCTGGCGCCGTTGAGAGCAGGGAGGAGGCTGGTGTCCTGGAACGGAGCCTTCTGGGAGATGGTAAAGGTTCCCTGGTCTCCGGCCTGTCGGCTGCTCACGCTGTTCATGGTGGCCGGCGCGGCATTGACAACGGCGCCAAAGGCCGAGAGAAGAGCAATGGCAGAAACGGAACGCATTGTGGATGCGGAATTATATTCTGTACGTTGTAAAAGGGGGTTGAGGAAAGGAGGCCTGAGACGGTGCTGCGAAGACTTGGCTGACTGGAGCTGAGGTATTGAGAATCTAGGCGGCAACAACGCTGGTTATATATACATGTTTACGCTGGCAAGCTGACGGCGCGACGAGCGTGACGGGCGTATAGCTGAACTTGTTGCCGTTTTCGTCAGAGCTCCGGTGTTTACTCCAAAAGCGTGCCCTTGTTGCTCACGAGTAATGAAATGAAATTACCCAAGGTGGATAAGAGGGGCTGTTATGAAAGTATTGGCAGCCCCGTATTCTACTTCGTACCGTAACCCATGTCTATATTGATTCAGGGGTATGTTGCTATTCAGGTTCGACGATAGTACTTGGACTGTTGAAAAGTTTTTCTCGAGTACGGAGTACTAACTTCATCAATACCCGTTGGCGACTAAGTGGGCGAGCCCCGTAGCCCACTTGGTTGCCAACGAGTAGTCCGGACTCTCACAATGTCGCGGAAGCTCGCTCCTAGTATCGCGAGTTGGACTGGAAATGCGCCTTCAAGGAGACGCATGTGCTTCCTCAACCCGGACAAGCCCTACTCGTCTTTTTCTATGCAATTTATGTACTCCGTAGTAAAGATGAAAAGTCTGACCAAGGTTACGGTTGTGCATGTGGATTACTGCATTTGCGCTTATACATCAATTGATACGAACGCGAATCTGACTCTGCTATCAATGGATCCTTCAGCCGCAGCAAAATATCCAAGCAAGGCCTTTGGAAAACCACCATGAATTAATTTCTTGCACCTTGTCTCGTAAACTCGAGTGTGTTTAATTTAACTCTTCCCATGGCCGTGTAGTCTAGACATGTGCGATGTGACAGTATTTGCCGCCTCTCAACTTGTCCAGAACAACAAGGCATGGCGATTGGCTCGCTACTCTGGCCATCTTATCTGATCCGAGGCAACCGTGTAGGCAGGCGCCTTTGGGAAAGTGTGGAACGCATCCAGCAAGGCAGGTGGATGTCTTTCCCCTCCCCGACGGGACAGGGTTGTTTGTGCTTCTCCATTCTCCACAAACCATTGCCAATATTTTGACAGACTCGGGGTACTTGCGCACCCGAGGCAAATGGCGCCGCCAACAAAGTAGCAGGATCTTATCTGATCCGACGGCCGGCCTGTATCAGCTCACCCTCACCGTTGAAGCCCCGCTTCATCCCGGTCTGCCAAGCAAATAAACAGGAATTCTTGCCACCAACTTTAATGTTAAGTCTCACGCCACGACAGGCCAAATGGCACGGATGACATGTGCACCATCTTATCTGATCCATCAGCACGATCTAACGGGTCCGGACCTGCATCGACAGTCATATGACAGGATTAATGCCTCATGACTTGTCCCGTCCCGGTGGCTCCTCCCACCCACTCGCTGCGAAAACGAGTTTTTCCATCCCATGGCATGCCATCACGCGGGCGGTTTTTCGTCGGACATGGTGCTTAGTTCCGAGCAAGTCGCACCAAGCCCGCGCGGTCCGCTGGGGCGAAAATTCTGTCCCGCCGTTGCTGCGTCTGGTCGTATAATACCGTGCGTACATAAGGTGGCCGAGAGTCCCCAACTTGTCCTTTTCTCTGTCTTTCGAGCCTTTGAAGGTACTCCCTCTGACACACGACTTGCTTTCAGCCCGCCGGTATTGGCCACTCGGACAACATGCACTTGACCAGGATTGCCGTGGGAGCCGGGCTGGCTCTGGCCTCGGCCATCAGTGCCCAGAGCGAGCCGCAGCCCAGCAACCCGTCGACTGCCAGTGTGACGGACAACTACATGGGCCCTGCTGCCTTTATGTGGCCGCCTGACAGAGTGTGGTCGGGCGACATGGACAACCAGGCGCCGTGCGGCTCGCGTGCCGCCGCCGGAAACAGGACGAAATTCCCCATCAGTACGTCCTGCCACAGCCCCTGACAAGTTGTGCTTGCTGCTTGCAGCGTCTTGTTCCTCCATCGGTTGATGGTATCTGGGGCTTGTACGATTTCCGTTGAACAATGCTGACTCGTCTCCCAGCCGGAGGTGCCGTTGCCCTCGTTGCCCAGGATGATTACTACAACAGCAAGATCAGCATCTCATACAAGGAAGGTGGGTGAATTCCTCTCCCGGCAGGGCTTTGAAGACGGCCCCCCCGCCGAGTTGTGTGGGAGACCAAGACACTGATGTGGCACAGATCCCCAGACAAACACCGACTTCAGTGTTCTCCTCGAGACCATTGACATTAGCGATCTGAACCCTGGCCACACCTGCGTATCGGTTCCTGACGCCCCCTCCCGGGTCACCGCAGGTACCAACGCGACTCTCCAGATCATCTACAAGGCCGACTGGGACGCCCCCCACAACCAGACATTCTACGCCTGTGCCGACATCACCTACGTCAACCAGGTCGACTTCAAGCTGCGTATCCCCTGCTTCAACGCCACGGAGCCGGGCGAGGACGACAAGAAGTTTGCCGCTGAAAAGGACAAGCCCGCCGGCGACTCCAAGACGCCCACCGCGAGCAGCGGGGGATCTGGCCTCAAGGGCGGCGCCCTGGCCGGCGTCATTGTCGGTTCTATTCTCGGCGCTTGCGCCATAGCAGCTGCTGGTCTGTTCTTGTACCGTCGTAGAGAGCAGAAGCTGAGACAGTTGCGGTTGGCGAAGATGGAGGAAAACGCTAAAAAGTCCGACTACCGAGATGATAGATCTGTAGAGCTTATCTAAGTCATGATGATGATGATGATGAATATACCAGTGCAGTTGGGAATCAGGCCTCGCTTTGCGTTTTATGTTATGATGCCGTGAGGAATTGATACTTGGACTGGCATAGAAGTTTGTCTTGTGTGCCTGTTTCGAATCAACTGTTTCTTTTACTGTCGAGGAGATGGTTAACAGAGCTTCTACGTGCTGCCCAGTAAATGCACAGAGGTTCGGTTTCGTTAAAAAAAAGTGAAAAGAAGAACTATAAAAAAAGACGGATGCCACCAAGGGGATTCGATCAGGGAGCCTCCCCAAAAAGGAAGAGCGCTCTTCATCAGTTGACCTAGATTGACCCTAATTTACGGAACCCGGCCTTGCACAGATTGTCGTTGATGTAATATATATACTACTGGCCACTGTAGGTCAAGGCGGGGCCCAAACAAAGCTTGTCCGTGCTATTGCTGGTAGGAAACCATTCTCTCCTGTCCAATCTCGTCATGCCCTGGAGTTTTCTTCATCCAAGCACCGCGCATTCTTGGCTAATATTCTGCCCATGACTGCATCATTCATTCTTGGTCCTCTTTATCCCTATGCATGGTTCTGCGGCTGTTGCCTCTGAGCTCGCTAGCATCAGAAACCCAAGCTGCGGTGTGTGCAGCGAATCACGCAGCGAATTGAATCGGTCAGCCAGATCGAGTCACAAGGCCGGCTCTCACTTGTTTAGGATCTTGATGTTGCTCACAAGTACGAAGTACACAGCGCTGTGCCGCATACTTGCCGGCCCTCATTCACGTATTGACATCCTACGCGTGTTCCGCAGGCCAGAAACCGGGCCTTGACTAGGCCCAAAGACATATTGACCCTTCTCCTGACGAAGGCGGTTATGAGCGAGGCCTGTGTAGCCTTTGGGGCGGAGCTTACATGTCAGCAGCAGTCTGCTCTACAACGAGATGCCGCGGTACTATGTGCTTTCATTGTTCGAGCTATTAGCTCACTTGTCCGGGTAACATCACTCAGAAACCTCGACTATCGACTGACCTTCCGTCACAAACGTGGCACGGGAAACAACTTGTCCGATTTGACAAGTACACACCTGCCTGGCCCAATACGCTGGATGTCTCGATAAAGAATTCTCGATACGACATGGGAGTAGCATGCGGCTTATTGCTTGTCTGTCATCTCGAAACAAGTCGTACGAGGCAAAATTCACCGCTTCGTCTTACCAAGGGATGTTGTGCCAAAAGCTTTATTTGTTCTGTGATAGAATCTGAGCGTGAATATTACCGCGGTCAAAGGATCGTTATTTGTAGGCTCAAGGGCAGGTAGGTAAGTTACAACAAGCAGCACAGGTATTTATGAGTGCTCACCTCGTTTATTAGTCGAGAAATTACTGATGGAGCTGTAAATATAAACCACATCTTGTACAGTCAAGTGTTTTATACCGTTTTTATAGACTTGTATTCCAACTTTAACCAAGACATTCCAATATCCCATCAAGTTTATATGGCTACATGAACGTCAACACATTCAAGTAGTCCCAAACTGCTCAGTATTCAAAGCTTTCTTCTTGTTGACAACGAACTTAAGTAAGGCTGTAGTCACACGTTTCCAATACTACGCGGTCGCCGAAAAAACAAACGAGGTTATTAGACTTTTGACCAAGTACAGACTCTGAATTCTTCGGGGGGGCATTTTCCTGCTTCAACAACTCGTAAAAGAGAGAAGCAAATTAGACAAATACCAACACTATTCGGCTTTTTGTATTTTTCCGCCATTGATAAGCGGCCCTGCCAAGTCTGCTAATTTTTGGCAACCTGAGCAACAAGAAAAGTAGCATCCAAAATGTCAAGATGTAATTCTCGAGAGTGTGACCATGGCTCCGCGGAACCATTATCCGAGTCTTACTGTCTAAAATTCACAGCAACATTTGTACAATCACAAGTCCAATAAAAGCTCTATCATGTGTAGCTAGATTCTCAATACAATGGCATCAACTTCGCAAACAATATATACGTGACCTTCTTTGCTGCACCAACAAATCGCTTCCACTCTCATGGCTCACCGGATTGCTATTGATCAAGGCCAATAAAACATTCATCATGTATAGCTAGATTTTAAATACAATGGCATCAATATCACAAACAATATATACGTGACCTTCTTTGCTCCACCAACAGATCGCTTCCACTCTCATGGCTCACCAGATTTCTATTGATCAAGCCCATCAGTTGCCAGTATAAGTGCAAGAGACGCGGCTGCCACTAGCAGCACAATCAGTGACAATATTTCCGGTCTGATCCTGCATATTTACGATTGTAGCACCATCGCCATCAACCGTTCCCGCAGAGTCGGTAGCAGAGGCGTCCGTGAACGTCACTTGTCCAAAATCGGCCAAGACAACCTGCGAGTCTCCCTCCATAAAGGCCTCGACGATCCACTCGGCGCTATTCTGGCAAAGGCTCGAGGGGCTGTCGCCGTACGTGTGCGTGACCTTCTGGCCAGTCGTCAAATTCTCCAGAGTAGCAACGCCGGTAGTCACGCCCGTGGCATCGATAACCATCTTGATTTGGTCGCCCACGCTCAGCTGGAAGTCGTCAAAGTCGGAGGAAGCGTCGGGAATCCACTCGTACCAGGCGTCGAAGGCGCCGTTGGCGTAGAAGGAGACGCCCGTCTGGAGGAGAGCCTGCTGGCAAGCGTCGCCGTCGATGCCAACCCACGCGGAGGCGGCAGCTCCGTCGGCACCGCTCACTTGGGGCACGGTGATGACGCCCTCGACGTGTGTGAAGCTCTGCCCGCTCTGGACGGCGCCGGCCCAGTTACCAGAGTACTGGGGGTGCGTGGTATTCCTCTGATTGGGGACAGACTGGTGGCCCAGAGCACGTTTCGTCGAGCCCCGATTGTTCTTTAGAGGCCTGCCCGGGAGAGCGGCGGCGGAGGCGGCAAGAAGAGCGAAAACAGTCGTGTACTTCATTGTTCTGGCTGAAGAAACGACGGTAGTGGATTATGTGTCCAGATTTTATCAAGTTGTTGGTCCAGGAATGCGAATGGAGAGGAGGAACGGCAAGGATCGCAGGGTGTTGTTGGAGCAATGGCCATTCTTATACATGTCATTTTCAAGGATTGTACCGTGGTATCATCAAATAGATAGTAGCATGCTGTCAATGCCATCCGTCATACTGTCCTCCACGGTGAAGCCGAAAAACAGAATGCCGTCCTACACCACGCGCTGTTGCCTACCAGTCTTCTACGTTGAGCTAGTCTTTTTATCGAAGGTCAAGGGGTTCAAACGAAAGAGAAGGATGAAATTTAGACAAATTAGGAAAGTTACAGACGGTTTGAAAGTTTCTCTCAAGTATGAAAACTCTGACACCTTCCTAAAATTCGCTCGTGTCCGAAAACACGTACTGTTCCATGCGCGGCAAACGACCCAGGCAACGTTGAGCAAATGTGAGGTAACATCATGAGGAATAATTGTATACGCCTCAGAGCTCCAAAAGACTCATCTCATCCGGGTAGGCGGCACGTTTTGGCCCAGGGTCATCGGGTAATACAACGATGGGCGATTGTTCCTTGGCGCGTATGGCTGAAGATCCTAACCTTTACAGGAAAGTCGCGATGCTGTTAGGGCTTCGTAGCTACTGAGTGAGAGTGCCGCACAGCCGATACCCTGACAAGCTATATCAACTCTACTGGAAATACTCATGTATTGTAAAACATTGCAGGGTCGCGACGCCCAACCAACTGAGCAGCATTAGTCAGAGTGGCCATGTCCTTACGAAACGTCCGAAATTCACAAATGATCCGCCCGGTTTAGAGGAACCTTTTCAGTCTCATGCACAGAATTCATCTTCTCAAGCATGTTTTGTTGGGTATTTGGTCCTCATTGACAGCCCATACAGTTTAGGAATGCGGCCGGCTCCCCAGTGCCGAAACTGCCCAAGTATCGCAGACGAGGCGTCTCATCCTGAACAAAACACCCATCCACAAGATCCATCAGGTGTCACCAAAAGGCTGGACAGGCACTAAATGAGACGGTTCTGGCGTCCGGGAGGGGAGCTGGATTAGGAAGGTCACAGACTCACCACACCGTATCTCTCATGGGCTCAACTTTCCCGCCAGTCTTATCATGAGTAAGCCCGAAAGGACCGAAATCTAGTGGCCTAACTGTAAGTCATGGGTCTTTCTCCGGAGACCAGGTGTTTCGGTGAAAATCTCCCGATGGTGAGTAGGACAGCCGATCTCAGTGAATGATGCATTGGACGACGGCTTGATCTTGGTCCGAGCTTGCAGATTACTTGTAGCATCTTGCTATTGCTAAATGCAGCGGAAACTAGGCTCAGAGGTAAATATCGCACAAAAAATTATATGCCATTTTGGCTACGTCGTTGATTCATGTGCGCAAGATGATAGCTTATACCCGTGGGGATTCGATGGTGGAATAAAAGAACTATTACCTAAATATGGCAAGGATGCCACGTCGCTTTTAGGCGACGCTTGACGGAATGTATGTCAACTAGGAAGAAACTGGCCAATGTTACAAATATTTGCCAAAAAAAAAAACCCTCACGTCATGAAGTTCCTTCCAGTACCAAAGGGAACAAAAAAGCATCTCCGATGCGGGGAATCGAACCCCGATCCCTGCGGAGCTTCCAAGAGGCCTTGAAAGCGCAGTATGATAGCCACTACACCACATCGGAAGTGGGTCAGTCTCCATATCACGGATTGATGAACGTTGGCTTCTTAATTCACACTAAGTAGGTTTGGCCATCTTGGACCGGGCGCACGCTTGGCAATTACTAGTCAAATACACCTTGGCGGTAATTCATTGCCGTATATCGACTATAAACGTAACACAAAGCCACATTTTATCAATTTGACTTTTTGTTTGCTTGAAAGAGCCGGCTCGAAAAGTCAGTGGTAGCAAGAATGAGGCCAGACAGCTTCTTGTCATACTGGGTCGTCGACATCCTCGTTTGGCATAATTATTTCTCGATAGAGGCTCTATTTTATATAATTCGATGAATTTCGATTATACAGAAACTGAATTACGACTATTGCGGCGTGGTAACATGGACCGAAATTATCTATTCTGTGGACATCGCAACATGCAAATATCAGAAATAATAGGCAATCCTGGGGGTTTCAAGATATTCGCAGCAAAGTTTGACAAGATGCCATTACTCATGACACAGAATTCTTGCTCAATAATTGTCCAGAGTTTCGTCAAGACTTTTCAAAACACTACAATGCCTCCTTGCTGTACTACTTTTCACCTCGTTGTAATACGGACTATAGCTGGGTTATTGATAGTGAGGGATCCAAGACTCTGATGCCAGGACAGATTGACAAGCTTCTAATGTCTAGGCAAAACCCGTTCTGGACGATTTTACACATCGTCTTGACCTGGAGCCCGGACTATTCTGGGATTGGCGGAAAAGGGGTTGCATAAGCCTGCGGATGTTGGCACACGAGGATGAAATCAAATTCGCATTGGTCGCTGTTCTTTGCATTTCATCAGCAGTTACAGATTATTGTGTTGCTTTGGCCACGATCAGAGTGCGGTCAGCTGAGGCGTGGATTGCCGCACAAGAGAAGCTTGACAGAAATTTACACGGTGCTTGTAAATCCAAAAGCCGGTCCATCGATTTACCAACAATTTGATTACAATATCAACATTTTCAACATTTGCAGGCTTGGTAAAAAAAACATCACGGATTGCCCCCTGAGAGCTGTTGACATGTGTGTATTCAAGACAGCACTCGAGACCTTGGGCAGTACTTACAGACGCCCTAACGGGCTTTGATAGGCAAGCTTCAGGTAGTCAGTGGGTTTTCATGAGCTCTCAATACAATAAGCCGCATACCGCGTTGGATATTGGTATGAGGTATCGCCAGTAAACATCTTGGCCTCGCTGGATCTGTCACTAGAGTTCTGATAACCTGGCGTCACTCTTGTAATTTTGTTTTAGTAAGGCACAACTGTCTCTTTTTAAGGTATTACCACCATCGGGGCGAGAGGGACGCATCAACTTGGTAAGGATCTCGTTACAACTGTCAGCAAGGCCATCATACTTTAGAATCCACGAGTTTAGCTCGCTTGCGGGGATTTGTTTGTCGGTCCATGCCCACTCAAAAGTATAGCCCCAGAAGTGGTACTCCTTTCGATTACCCTTGGTGTTCTTTCTCACAGCCATTGTTGCAGGCGTATTGGTCGCCGGCGTCATTCGATGGAAGCAACTCACGCATGGCGTGTATGATTCCGACTTAGATATATCCTCACAGACAGCATCACAGAAATCGCCACGACCAGAAATCACCAGGCACGGCCTTTGTTTGATCAAACCTAACCCTGGAGGCAGGCAGCCTGGTCTTGGTCGTTTCGCATGCGAGTTCAATGTTGCAATGCAACCCCTGTGATGGGATTCCGCCGTCTGTTGTAGGCTATAAAGGGGCTGCCCATCACTTTCCCTCGGCCTAGCACTTTTACATGAGCCCATCTGCTTCGGAACACCGCAGCTTTAATCTTCACGCCACACGTCGGGTTCTATCAAGACCTCGCGCAGGTCCACTTGCGTCGAGCAATTTTTGGTGTTTCTACAAGTCTGGAGCCCGAAAAGAGGTAGCTGGTATCATGAAATCGGTTGTGCAATGTAAAATCTCTATATCATTAACAGATTGAATCATGTACCCCGGTATTTTACGCATACTTGATGCCAGTCACCTTAATACGTGTAAGAGACTTCACAACAGGCGCCTCTTTTGTGCATGTAAACCGCTAATGCTTGATATATTTTGCATCTTTACGCATTATCCCAAGTCTTTGATATAAAAATGATGCCGCTGAATAACAACAAACAGAAGAAGAAGGCGCTCTCATGCTGAGCAATCTGGCACACGTCGTGTTGGTCGGCACTAGAGCACGGCATCATCTCCTCCTGACAATATCCAGCACACTCCTCCTGCCAACCAAACATGCGCGGCATAACGGAGTAGGATCCAGCTCTCGATACACCTTGATTGAACTGATTGCAACTTCCATCACCTTCTCAACCTCGAACCAACGGATCTCCTCGCCAAGCTCCACATCCTCAAAAGTCCACACCAGTCGCTTGCAGATGTAAACCAAATAATTCATAACCTGAAAATCATTCCTGAAATCCCATGGGACTACCGTTCTCATATAGGACAGGGCTGCCCACAACTTGTCGCGGCGGACTTTTCCAAACAAAACGGATGCGGCCGGTCCTGCGATCTTGGGTGCGTCGGCAATCCACTCCTCGCCGTAGGTAAAGATGTCTTGGCCAACCCGACGAAACTTCCAAAAACACCAGCGTTTGTATGCCTCGTCAAACATATGAATCGCCCAGTTCGTTCTGTACAGGTTGCTCCTTTTGTCGTGGTCACGGTCCTCCAGCGGGCAAACTGCCCCGAAATAAATGTAACCACCGTCTGCGTACATGGCGTTCTAGCTGGGTGGGAAGCCCAATGATGGCTAGTATTGAATGGTAAAGATTTCCAAACAACTGGCGTGAGTGTGTCCTGCGATGCTGGGAGAAGATGGATTTCTGAGTCGTGGTAAGATGGGAGGGACCGCGGAAGAGATCGACGAGCAACGTAACAAGAGCTCGGGGGAGTAAATGCCAAGTATGTATTGCAATAAAGCTAATAAAAAAAAGACCTTTTCGTGTGTGTTAAGGAAGGAAAAAGGAAGTTAAAGCGTACAAGTGTAGCAGTAAAGTCATAGTGCCTGACACGTGATTATAGGTCCTGACATCCCCCCGTTTAAAGGAAGGAGATGATGGCCTTGTTATCTAAACTTCTAAAAAACAAATAAACGTCTTAATTCCCTCCTTACTCAACATGATCCATTTTAAATTAATATGCAATCATAAAAAATAAATCCTCGTCCTAGCTTAATCGCATTTTACCAGCCCACGCTTGAAGTAACCCCAAGTGCCATTTTCTAGCGGCCTCAACGTCGTCATTTGGCCATTTATCAGTCGTAGTCTTGACTTCCTTTTTTGCCTATCCCCTGGCAGAGTCGCACCAACTCACATCGGCGCAGCATGTACGAGGGCAGAACCGCCGCCAAGCACGGAATCACATTTGGTATGCGCGCGCCGTCAACCCGCCCGGCAGTAGGCTAACCCCATGACGCAGGACATGAAAACATGGGCATCGTGGAAGAAGTCGGAGAGGGGGTGACGCTGCTCACCAAGGGCGACAGAGTCGTGGTCCCGTTCAACGTCGCCGACGGCCGCTGCCGCAACTGCGAAGAGGGCAAGACTGCTTTCTGCACCGGCGGCGCATACGGTTCGTCCTCGTAGACATCTTTCCGACAGCTGCGTCTTCCGAGGCGAACCTTGGCCGCTTGGTGCTCACATTCCAGCAGGGTGGCACGGCGTCGAACTGTCGAGCTTTGCTCCCTGGGAAAGCCTCGTCGTCTTTGGCGCTGGCCCCGTCGGCCTGATGGCTGGACACTCGGCTGTTTTGCCTGGAGCGGCGAGGGAATTTGTCGTCGACCGAGTCCCTGAGCGATCGCGGGCCGCGGAAAGCATTGGCTGCATCCCCATCGACTTCACCGAATGTGACGCCGTGGAGCAAATCATCAAGGTGAATAACGGCATGGTAGATCGATCCATAGACGCTCAGGTCATAGACAGCAGGGGCTCCTAGGAGCAGCCAAATGTCGTTCTGGGGAACATGATTCGGGTGACGAGGCCGTGCGGCGGACTGGGCATTCCCGGACTCTATGTCCCGAGGTGAAATTCCCCATTTCCCACCCGTTCAGCAAGTGCTTATTCGAGTTTGATAGTGATCCCGGCGCCCCTGACACCGCGGCCGCAAAGGGCATGATTAGCTTGAGTTTTGGAAAGCTCTTTGAAAAGGTGAGTTGCGGCTTGCTAGACCTCGTTATCAGAGTTCCTTGTCTGAATCAGTGATAGGGCCTCAGACTTGCAACCGGGCAGTGTAATGTCAAGGCCTACAATAGGTATCTCCGGAACCTCATTATAGCAGGGAAAGCGAAGCCGAGCTTTGCCGTGTCACACGAAATCACCTTGGATGACGTGGAGATTGCCTATGACAGGTTTGACACGAGACTGGAAGGGTACACCAAAGTGCTAATCCACCCCAATTGAGGCCGAGGCCGATCCAAATTGTCCCAGATACAGTCTTTATCATCGCAGAAGCCATCATCTTATCAGTATTGGTAATAGCAGGATTCCTTTTATTGGTCTATATCAAGCACCTACAAGCCTCCCTTGGCCTTTAACTCCTCGTGCACTTTCTTCTGCTTTTCCCACATCTTCTTCAAAGACTTCAGTTGACTCTTGGGCACATCACTCCCATCCTTCATCTTTGTTGGCATACCGCTCTCATCCCACGCGCTGTACCGCTCATCCTTTTTGAACATTTCCTCAGGAGGAATCTTGGCCTTTTCTTTGGCCTCTTGCTCCGCCTTTTCTCGTGCAATCCTTGCCTCTTCCTTTTTCTGGGCCTTTTCGGCTTCACGCGCCGCCTTCTCTTCCCTCACGCGGATGAGTTCTGCAGCAGGGATGAATTTGATGAGTGACGGCTGGTTATCCGGACGATCGTCGAGGGAGACGCCGAGATTGGTCAGGTCTACGTCACGGATGCGGTCGGCAATAGCGAGAATGGCCTTTTTGTTCTCTGCGGTTTGAGACGACACAATGCGGCGAAGTTCGTCACGTATCTGGGAGACGACCCGGATGTAAGGGAGAGATAGTTCTTCAATGTCGCGAGTGCCGCTGGAGACAATTGACTCAAACTCCTTGGAAGGGTCCTGGGATAAGAGATTGGAAAGCGTGTCGCTGGAGAGGGAGAGCTTGGACACCTCGGTCACCACAGTCTGGAGAACTTGAACATAAGGCTGGATAGCCTTCTTGGGGTCAATATCGGCGGCAATAGAAGATGCCCAACCAAGACCGTCGTAGGGAGGGGTGGCGTTGGGGTCCAGCCCAAAGATGCCCACCATTTTGGTGATCCAGCGCGCAATGGCCTCAACGTGGGCGAGATCCACGTCCTTGTTATTCATGACGAAGGTATTGACAGTGTTGACCAACTTGAGAAGAGCGAGCATGGCTCGAGGGGTATCAAAAGAGTTGGTCAGTGCGGCCTCGACCTCCTTCTTGGCCAGTTCCAGATCGGCAAGGAGACCAGTAGCTGGCATGTCTTGATTAATGGAGAGGCTCCTAACGCCACCACCGACACCAGCCTCCCTGATCCAAGATTTGGTATTTGTGAAGAAATTCTACCAACACGTTAATACGAGGTTGCTGCGCGAGGGCAAATAAAACGTACACTAATGGTTGTCTCCCAGTTATCGGCTGCAGACCGCATGTCTGGAGAAATTTCGACACCGTCGTTCCACCTGCCCATTAAGAAGACAATTCGCATGCTCCTGGCGGTGTAAGTGGTGGCGAGTGCGTCTGCAATGGTCTGGAAGTTCTTAAGGGACTTGGACATTTTTGATCCTGAAATTGACAAGTGACCCATGTGAAGGAAATAGTTGACCCAGGTGTGCTCACCCTTGCCGTGCTGGCAAAAGTATGCCTCGCTCTGCGCCAGCTCGTTGTCATGGTGAGGGAAAGCCAAGTCCACGCCGCCAGAGTGAACATCCATGCGAGATCCGAGTACATCAGAGGCCATGACGGAGCATTCAATGTGCCAGCCTGGTCTGCCATCACCCCATTTGCTGGGCCAGTAGGGCTCACCAGCTTTGGACTTCTTCCACAGGGCAAAGTCGCCGGCACCACGCTTTCCGCCCAGGTTCGTCGACAAGGAACCCTCACCCTCCTCCTGAAGGGCCTTGTTGTTTTTGCTATCCGGTCTCAGACGAGCATAGGTGTTGCCGGCTTTCTGGAAGGCTGCAATGTCGAAATAAACCGAGCCTTCGGCTTCGTATGCAAAGCCCTTGTCGACGATTTGTTCCACAAACTTGGCTATCTGAGGCACGTACTCGGTGACACGGGTAATGACGTCGGGTCGCAGAACATTTAGATTGTCCATATCTTCCAAAAAGACGGCCTCCATCCTCTTTGTAAGATCGGTAAATATAGATTGGTCGCTAGTATCCATTGTCTCCTTGTGCAAAGAGTCAAGGTAAGGTAGGAGGACTTCGTCTGCGCCGGGGAAGATGGCATTTTGCTTCAGAGCTCCAGCAGCGGCATCCATGTTGCCGACATGCATCTTGATCTTTGCCTCGTTATCCCCGGGCTTTCCCTCACCAGTGAGAGTGCCTCCAGAGAGCACTGTGCCGTAGGCTGTATCCCGCTGAGTGGCGTAGTTGGTCTCGTCCAGTTTGGATGCGTCGTTAACAAGGAGAGGCAGATTTTTCGACGCGTAGGCTCGGAAGGCGGCAAGGCCGAGAGTCCTGAGTTCCTCTTCGGGGTATTTCTTCTTCTTCTCGAGGTCTAAAAGTCGCTGTCTCCTAGCCTTGAGGATGATCTACAGAGGTCAGCGTGGCAGCCATGATGCATGTGTAGCGGGGTTCGCACCTTATCGTCAACGTCTGTCATGTTCATTACATACTTGACATTAAAGCCAAAATAATGCATCATGATGCGTCGAATAATATCACTGGTCACGTAGTTTCGGGCATGACCAAGATGGCTCTTGTCGTACACGGTAGGACCGCACGCATACCAGGAGACTTTGCCAGGCTCCATAGGCACGAACAGCACGGGAGGGCCTGGCTTGAGTGAGTTGTGGACTTTTATCAAGTCCATGATGGCGGTGTTATATCTTCGAATAGATAAAAGGAAGAAGCTCTTGGGAGTAGTGACGACTGGAACGAATCTCGGACGGTGTGCGACGGGCAAACGATGCATTCAGACTGGCGGGTCCGGTGAGGATTAAGTAGCGAGAGACACTGGACACGGCAAGGTCATGGCCAATGCTGGTTGCTACTCGATGAGTCGTCGCCGGCCGCGGGTGGTGAGGGAGCGCACGTAATCGCAGTCGTGGTGGTGGCCAGCGTCGAGCTTGAGTCACGCAAAGGAAATGCCACTTTGGCAGATTTGCCATGCAGCTCCGACAAAGCTGTCGTGCCCCTCCTTTTTCATATGTCGTCGCATGAGGCTAGCTGCCAGGTGCGAAGTGCCTCCATGCTCTGGACTTCAATCAATTCATGTTTAATGCCACAGCCCGTTCGCTAAAAAACAGACCAGCCAAATGGAAAAAATGTCACCTGGTTATTGTAAATTTAACCTTGAACTGCCACATGTATTGACTGATTACTTAGTCTGCCCAACTGACTGCCGCTCAACACTGAATCAAGCCTGAGCCTGGGCCTGGTCTCTCGCATCAAAGCCTGGCCTTGGCCTGGTGGGGCCACCCAACATTCAATGCTCCGCTTCATGCAAAGTCTATTGCGGAATTCCAGCAAAATATTTTGCCCATCCAACCTTGCAATTGACTGGCAGCTTTAATTTCTCCAACTTGCCAATACTGGCATTGACGAGCCTACAGCTAGCCCAACCTCGCCATGGATACATCTGCCGGTGCTCCCCCGTCGCCTTTTCTCGAGCCCACGTCTAGAACAGCCCCAAATACCCTCGCCATCATCAGCCTCTCGAAAGAACACTACCAGCCCATCACTCTGCAGGAATCCATTGGCGCCGTGGACGGATATGCAGAAGGCGTCACTCTCAACACAAGATTTGGCTCATTTCCGCACTCTACATTACTGGACATTCCTTGGGGCTCACAAGTCCGAGCCTCCGTAGTCGACACAGGATCCCGTGGTCGCAAGCGCCGGCGAGACCAAGTTGAAGACGAAGAAACACCCACCTCCAACCAGGATGACGGCAATGACACACCGACCTCGGCGCCTGCGAAAAAGGCCATTGCAGCATCCAGTGGCTTCATTTACGTCCTCAGGCCGACGCCAGAGTTGTGGACGAGCAGTTTACCCCATAGGACACAGGTCGTTTACACTCCCGATTACAGCTATGTCCTGCAGAGAATCAGGGCTCGACCGGGTACCAGAATTATCGAAGCGGGAGCTGGTAGTGGAAGTTTCACACACGCCTCAGCGCGAGCGGTTTACAGTGGTTACCCAGGGTCGGATGCAGATGCCAGGGGCAAGGTATTCAGTTTTGAGTTCCACGAACCTCGGTTTGAAAAGATGGATGCCGAAATCAAGCAGCATTCGCTCCAAGGGATTGTCCAAGTGACGCATAGAGATGTATACGATGAAGGTTTTTTGATCAATGGCAAGTCCCCTAAGGCCAGTGCCGTCTTTCTGGATTTGCCAGCTCCGTGGGAAGCCCTGCATCACCTGGCGCGGCGCAAGACGCTGAAGGGGGGCAAGCTGGATGAAAATCCTGGCGATTGGGACTCACCACTTGATCCAAACAAAAGCGCACATATTTGCACCTTCTCTCCGTGTATTGAGCAAGTGACGCGCACTGTCACAGAACTGCGAACACTGGGCTGGACTGACATTGACATGGTTGAAATTGCGCACCGCAGGTTCAATGTCATTCGAGATCGTGCTGGGGTTAATATTCCCAGTGAGAAAGGCTTCAGTGCTCAGCCTGCCGATGTTGCAGAGGCTGTTAAAAAGCTCAAGAGCGATCTAAAGCGGACCCAAGACTTCCACAAAGCCCAGACATCGCAGCCAGTTTCTGATACTTCAGAGTCCAAAATGGACGTCGATGAATCCACCCCCGAATCCAACACTGGAGACTCAAATAAAACCGAAGATCCGCTATGGCTTCAAGGCAGGCTTGTCCACCGCACAGAAAACGATCTCAAGACTCACACCTCGTATCTGGTATTTGCTATTCTACCCCGTGAGTGGGATGAAGCTGCAGAAGAGGCAGCCCTTGCAAAATGGCCCTGCGGAGGCGAATCCAAAACGATTGGCAACTTGGACAAGCAGGCCCGGAAACAAGAGAAGAGGGAAATGATGGCTGGAAAGAAGCAAAAAAGGACAAGAACAAATGATACCCAGACAGCTTGATACTATTTTCAATGCAGCCAAGGAAAATATGCATGCCTGGGCCAGTGGCAGGCCTATGCCGACTTGAACTTGGCAACTTTGCCTTTGATGCTTGCCTTTTGTCGAAGCTCCCTAAGCCACAGAACGAAGTAGATGCCAAAAAGAGACACGGCGAATTCATGCGGCCACAAGGGCTGTTCACCATCGACCCTCTTCTTCCATAGAAGCCAAGCCTCTCCCCCCAATCCCAGCAGCAACTGAATCGTCCCAGTGACGGGCAACACGGATCGAAAAGCTCCAACTCCACCAAAATACGCGTACATGAGTACGTGGTGGAACGCGTTTGGGGCAGCGACAGCTTTCCATCCCTGGCTGTAGTACAGCACACGCACGTAGGTCAAATACGGCGTGGTGAGGTGGTGCACTGCAAAGTGCAGCTCGATCTCGCCGCCACCAGCTCGAACACCAAGGACATCGATGTACTCGTAAAACTTGGACAAGTGATAAAGCCTCCTTGTTACGTGTTCGTATTGCGGCACGAACATGAGGCCAAGCAGGACTGCCGAGGCCAGCGAGTAGAACCAGCTGTTGAGCATGACTGCCTTTCGAGCCACAGCAACGGGTCCATGGCTCGCCACATGGCGATGGACCAGCGTCCAAACCGACACAAAGGCCGCAGTCTGCAGAAACATGTAGAATAAATTCATATTGTCAATTTTCAAGCGAATGATATTTTTCGTTTCCAGTGGTGATGTTTCCGCCCGGTACAAAAGCAGCCTTGCTATGAGTCATAACTGCGCCTTTCGGTTTGGGTAAGCAGCCATCGCGAATGAGACATGATATAATTAGAAACAATTCTGTCACGTGTTGCAAAACTAGTGATTGGCGAGACTATTTACCAGTTCCTACTATTATTCCTCCTGCAAGCGAACTACAACCTTGCCATTGGTCTTGCCCTCACCAAAGTCACCCAGGGCCTTGACCAGGCTCTCAAACCCAGTTCCACTATAGACTTCAGGCTCCAAAGGAGTGAGCGCACCGCTGACAACGTGTGCCTGGAGCGAAGGTATCATCTTCTTCGTCTCCTCGGTAACCTGTTTACCCAGCTCATCATCTTGGCCTAGTTTGGCGATGAGAACGTAGTACGAGGTAACACCAGCCGGCATGTCGTGTTGGTTTCTATCCTGCGTCAGAGTTGCTCGCAAGGTCTAAGGAAAACAGGTGGTGCTTACGATTCAACCGTGGTATAGTACTTTGGGCTGGCGGTAGTTGCTTCCAGCATCTTGGCCGCGGCCTCGTGAGAGAGACCGCTGGCGTCAAAGACGATGGAGTACTTCCCTCCAGTGACGGACTTGACTTCGGCAGCTTGCTCCTCGGGGGTTGCGCGGTTGTTGATGGCGGCTTGGGCGCCGAAGCCCATGGCAACCTAGATAGTTGTAGTCGGCATTCACGGATTCGAGCTTGTTTTTCTTAGACGGGTATGCTTACCGATTTGTTAGAGGCGGAGCATGATGCAGCGACCTTGTATCCGCACAAGCGGCCAATCTACACGAATTAGAGGCATTCAGAACACCAGCCCCGGAATCGGCGCACCTGAATAGCATAATGCCCAACGGTGCCGCTCCCACCCAGAACAATAAGCCACTCATCCCTCTCTGGAGCCTTTGCCCCTGGTGCCGGCAGGGGGACCTTGGCTCCGACAATGATGCCAAACGCAGATGTCTAGATCTCGATCAGCTTCCCGAATCCCGTCTACAAGTCACAGATAAGACGTACGATTGTTCCGACAGCAATGGTAGAAGCCTGGGCGGGCGTTAGCGCCCCCTCTACCTTGAAGACCAAGTCCTCATCAACCAAGAACGTCTCCTGAAAAGGAGAATAGGCCTTCTGCCCAATCCGGCATACGCCATATACATAATCGCCCTTCTTGAACTTCGTGCACTCTGGACCGGTCTCGATGACTTGGGCGCAAAAGTCGGAGCCGATGACGGCAGGCCAATCATGGATGAGTATGCCATACTTTTGCATTATGGTATCACTATTTGTTTACTCCAGGCATCAGAAACAGTGTCATGTGCTAGAATATACGTGGCGGGCAGAGCTTCAGAGGAGCATCACTTACACTGGGTTGAGTGCAACATATGCCGACTTCACAAGAGCTTGTTTGGCGCCCGGGCTGGAACGGGACAAGTCCTTGACAACAGTGAATGGTGCTCCGCCTTTTGAAATGGTAACTCCTGACTGAGACATGATGGACGTTGGGGGTGGGGAAATAATGCTATATTGAAGCTGGATAGCTGCGTTGAACAACGAGGGTAGATTGGATAGACCTTGACATGATAAGACTGGCATCATGGTAATTTATACCTGCCCAGTTGGACCAATTCCTCAGTGGCAGGCCATTACAATACGCAATCACGGAAAGTCGGCAGCGAAAGTTGCTCGGAATAGTGGCGTCTTTCCTTGCAAAAAGGATCGCCGCCATCAACCAGCCAGCTCAATGGCCTCTGTACCGCCAATGGCGAGGGCCGAGGATGAAAATCATCCGTATGAAACCTCTACCTCCGTTCCATCACAAATCAACATCTCTTGACCTCGAGCTGTGTCATTGGCAAAAAAAAAGTGAAGTGTGTGGCCGTTTGCTCAGTCTGGACCAGCCACCAACGGGGGTGGCCAAAATGGCAGCTCCAAGACCCGTCATAGGCCACAACCCCTCATCTGGAAACTTTCAACGCTCCCAAAAAAAGGTCCTCTGAGCTGAAAGCCAAAGGGTTCGTGAGATCGTCATCATGTCAGCCTTTGACTCTTTGTACGCCATGCTGAGTGGCAAAGCTACAACCCAACCCACGTTTGTTGTTGGAGGATCGACGAATGCCACGAGAGAAGGCTGGTGGCAGCTGGCGCCACAGCAGAAGCGGCGCCCCACGCACTGCGGACCGGATGAATAAATGACCCGCTACGCCAATCCAGAACAAGCCCACCACGGGAAATCCTGAGATGGCTTCAAGACCCCAGACGTGATATTCGAAAGGCACGCCAAAATGACGTCCACAATCGGCATCCCCATCAAGCTCCTCAACGAGGCACAGGTCTGTTTGGCGCGATTATTCTCAGTACCCTCTTTGTCAACTGACGCGCATGTGTAGGGCCACATTGTGACTCTCGAAATCACCAGCGGTCAGACCTACCGTGGGAAACTGCTCGATGGTACGCCGCCCCTCGGTCCCTTGCCGCGCGATATTCGCACATGCCGTGTGTTGGTACTAACTGCTCGGCTAGCCGAAGACAACATGAACGTTCAGCTCAAAGACATTACGGTAACCGCTCGCGATGGTCGCGTCTCCCACCTCGAGCAAGTGTATATCCGGGGCTCTCACGTGCGCTTCTTCATCGTCCCAGACATGTTGCGCAATGCACCCATGTTCAGGAGCAGGAATTTGAGAGGACGGGGTGTTGGTCTAGCGAGAGGAAGGGCGACTGTCAGTCGGGCTAGAGCTGGCGGACGCCGATAGACACGCACCGCCATGGCTGGTATGCTTTGACAGCTTTGATGAGAGGAGGGCAGCGTGGACAAATGCTTGATAAAAAAGTGCTAGGGGATTGGCGTTTAGGATTGATTCAAGAAAAATCTTTCATCTCCATGTGCGGAGCCCGGAGTCGAGGGTAAGAGACAGATGCTGTGGATGTGGTGACGATGCTTTCTACAAAGAATGCGCTACTATACATGTCTATGCCCGCCGTATCATACACTACTTCATTCGAGCCAGTGCGTCTTCCGCCTTGGCAATTAGCTCTTTTGTGTTCTGCAACTCTTTCATTTCTTCGACTCCGTTTGTACCATTGCTTCCGTTGCTCTCCAGGACCGTGGCTACGCTCTCCTCTGCTCCGCGTACGGCCTTGCGCCCTTCCTCGCGGACTTCGCCTTCCCAGAAGGTCCTTGCGGCATCCCATCTCTTCTGCAGTCTTCCTAGGCTGTAAACGATTCCAAGGGCAGCCACGGCACCAGCTTCGTAAATGGTGGATGCAAACGATGACATGTACAAGAGGGCAGCCAGAGATGTGGTTATGCCAGACGTGCCTAGGGATTGGATGACGAGTTTTTGAGCCAGTGACTGCAGCGCTGGGACGGTTTCGTTTTGTAGGTAGCGGCGAGTGAATGCAATGTGGCCAGGCCACTTTGGGAGGGAGTAGGATGATGTCGCGGCCAAGGGGGGCGCGTGTTCGCCAGAGCCGAGCTTTCGAGACTCTGTGGCATCCAGGGACGACTTGGGCTGAGGATACTCTGGCGAGGAGCCGCCTAGCTGAGCGATTCTGCCAGTCAGATAAACCAGTTCCTGTTCTGCCGTGGGCATGAATCGCTGGCCGAGCATTTCGTTGGTCAGCATGGCAACATCATCCACTCGCCAAAACAACTTCCACCACCCCAACTTGCGCCACCGCCGGCCTTTAAAGGCAAGATCTAGTTCATCCTGTAACTCGGCGTGGGCGTTCTGCGCCCAGTCTGCCAGGCGCTTGTTCAAAGCTGCCACAGCTGGGTCATCACTGTGCAGCGTCAGCGCCTTGGATAGTTTTCGAGCCTCGACAAGCTGTATTTGCGAGGATGTGTTTTGCAACGTTGACGCAATTAGCCTTCGTACGGCCGGCTTGGTCTCATCAGCAGCACCAGATTTGGCTCCATCCTTGAGCCATTTCAGCAGGGTAGGCACATTGCTTGAGAACCATAAGCGTTCATAGTCCATGGCATTTTGAGGCCCTTGGCGAAACAAGCCGAGGCCTTTCTCGGCCAGCGATACGTCCACGACGTCAAAGCTAGCCTGTAGCTGTTCCTTTGTCACTCCCTCCATTTGAACAACCGCCGATATGGATTCGTCTGTTTCGGAGACGGGAAGAGCGGAAACATTGACAGCGCCTATCAACCCATCAGCGACAAGCAGAGCCTGGTGAACCGGAGTCGAAATTGGCGACACTCTATCATTTGCGGACGGGATATCGACAGTTGGTACAAGAACTGCATCCTCCAGCGTTTGAATAGTCGTCTCGCCCGGCGCGCCATACGGCACATCGACCCCCATCAGAAGGAATTCGAAATTATACCCGTCCAACTCGGGGCACGAAATATGCATCTCGTCCAGACCAACCTCTTTCTCGATCTCGAGCGACACGGCATGATTCCGAGGTGGGCCAACCCGCACAATCAGCGGCGTACTCCCATCCCGGTTCTCCAACTCCTTCTCCCAAGGCTGTACTTCCTGCAGCGGATCGGCGAGCAATGCGTGTAAAACTCTTGCAGCCGTGGCATCAGCCTCGGTGCCGTTGGCGAGACCTAAAATAGCGATGCGGATAATCTCATTGCCGGCATCTTGTCGCAGACCCTGGAGTGCCAATTGCAGCTTGGATATGTTGATTAAATTGGGGGATTGCTTCTGAAGCTCGAGCAGCGTGTTTTGGAGCTCCGTTCGCGGGTTCGTCGATGTCGACAGGAGCCGTGGCCATCCAGCTTGGGACCTGTTTTGCAGCCGAGGGCTGGAGCGAGGGCGAGCTGCCAGTGAGGAACGGGCACAAATCGGGCACGGAGATGCAGTGACGTGCCGTCCTTGTCGGAGGAGACGGCGCGTGCTGCGCGGCAGAAAATCTGATCTGGACGCCATCGACAGATGGGCGTTATTTGAAGGTTGAGACTTGGGACCGGGCGGGAGCTGAGCCTGTTAATGGAGCTGGTTTGTGGAGCTTCTCGGAACTCTGCGGGCGGCACTCGCTGGTCGTTAGCTGCGCCCGCAACTTGGAACTTTCATCTGCAATTGTGTCGCCCACCTCAATTTATGCCCACGCTTTTTTTTTGGATAGCGTTGCTGCAGTCATTATCATTTCCATTATGAGGACCAATCTTCTTCGGCCTTCGCCGAATCATGCCATTTTCCAACCAGCCATGGAAGCACCAGCCAATCCCAGACACTTGTATCAGACTCGAGTGGTCAAGTGAGCTTCATGATGCTGAAAAGGCACACACACAGGCTCTGCACAACGATCAAAGCAAGTGCTGCATCTGCTGACAGCCTTACCATAAAGACAGAGTTGTAGTATGAAAATTCGTACAAAGACTTTATTACGGTATAAATACCCCATTGCCTGCACCTGGATATTTTTGATTTACTCCATCACCCTCGCTTATACATGACGAACCTACGCGGTGCTTTCATTGCCGGTACGTTGCTCGTCTCTCCAAGTCACCTCGTCTCCTCTGCGACTTCATGCCTAAGGTGATGAAAATAACTCCGTTCCAGAAGCCACGGAGTGATCCCGTTGCACAAACACTGAGCAGCAACGGATAGGATAAAAAGTCGGGGTTGACGAATGCGCCAACGCGATTCGTCGAAGGAGCCACCCAGACTGACAAAAGCGCAAGAAAGAAGAATATTGGCATGAGGATATATTGTCTAAATGATATAGACAAGTGGCGAGTAGGTGTGCCGACAGTATGGGAGGTTGCTACCCGGGGTTTGGGGGGGAGAATGGGCGATTCTTCTCCAGAATGTGACACAGAGGCGTGCCCATGCCGCGATGGGAAATTTTCTTCGGTCGCCCTTCTCTCCGAGTTCTTATACGGAGCGTCTGCGGTGGACGCAATGCTGTCTTCCAACGGAACAGGATCGCTGTTGAACGACTGCAAAGCGCCCTTGCGCTTGACAATCTCGATGCCGACTAAAACATAGATGACCATGGAAATGAGAATCATGGACCTTGACAAGGAGAGGCAACAGTTAGCCTGGAACAGAAGAGAATCGTCAAGCTGGACAAAACATGCCATATTGGGATGTAATAGAACAGGATGCGTAAGAGCACCCACTTTGGCGAAATCGAGCACCATATCTGTCAAAGGACGACGCATCAGTCATTATTGTATCAGCATCACTATAGGCAGAGCGACTAACAGCTACGCTGCCATAAACAGGGCCTTTCTCCTCCGTCTCTACGAAGAGGAAGGCGAGAGCAGGGATGAACGTAACCGAGGTAATGACCGCCATGTATTTCCACTCGAGCCTCTTTAACGACTCGCCATCGTACCGACGAAACACAATCAGAAAGACGTCAATCGCCATGACGAGTGTCCAAAGCACATCGGCCAGTGGAAACCTATAAAGGGGACTCGTTAATGCCTGTCACATGGGGTTTAGAAGACAGTTTCTCGGGCGAGGCTGCCAACTTGGGACGCACATTTGGTTGATGAAGGCCTGGAATTTGCACAACGCTGAGGCGTTCCCGGCCGCGGGGCCGCTCACGGAAATCATGGTGCAGGCGACATCAAAGGCATTGTAAAAGGCGTTGATGAAGATGAGGCGATGCATGGGGTTTCGAAAATGCGGCTCGACACAAAACACCGTGATAATCGTCACGACGCCCAGAGCCGAGAGCGCAGAGGCAGCCCGCCCGACAATTTGGAGTATTTTTGCCTGGTCGTCCGTGATGGCGACGTTTCCCCGGACATGCAACATGGCTTCTTGTCGCTTGGTCACTGTTGGTTTCCTCCGTTGTCATCATGGTGGTTGGGACATGATGAGCTTGGACATGGCGGCCGTGCTGTCATTTACAGATGGCGAGCGGACGCTTTGGAATTGCCGAAGCAGGTTACGTGTAGCTGATGGGCGGCATTTTGGTGCCATGTTCATGGCATAAGATGGTGGTGCATTGCGTGCTCCCAGCTACATCTGTTGGGGGCTTGTGATTTGACAGGGCCATGCTTGCGCCACGAGTCATTGCCATCACACTCAGGTGAGTCAAGTCCTATATATTGGACGTGTAACAATTCTCATGGGAAGAGAACAGGGCTCGAGGCGGCCGAGATCAATTCTTTGAGGAGCCCTTTTGCTTGCAGCGGCCTGGCGAAAGATGTAAGCTATTCTTCGCAGGCAGGACGCATCTTGCATACCATATAAGATGAACTGATGTCTCACTTCAGCGGGGTAGTTATCCGTCGCTCCGTAGGAAATTTTGGACTACTTGAGCCGTTGTTTCATTCGCGAATCTCCACGACTTGTTATTACACAACAACCTTTTCCGAGTTTGCTTGTCCCTTCTGGGCAAAATACATCTCAGCGTGGCCCAGCTCGACCGAGACAGAAACAATGGCTTGACAAAGCGCCGTGTCACAAACGGTTTGCCTTGTTAAGCGGCCATGTACGGAGTATGTGTTTGGCGTTTGGCTCTTTGTGCTGCTATGTGGTGTGCAGCCCCCCCGTGTCAAGGAGGCCTGATGTCGTCGCGCATTGCAGGCAACAAAGGATTCATACATGATGAAAGCCCAAAGGAGATGACACTGAATCCAAGCAATGAAACATTTCAAAAGGCCGAGGTCCGGCACTGGGTAGAATTTCCCACCTTCTGACATGCAAACTCTACATGCCCAGACGAGATCAGCCAGGCGACATCCAAAAAATGAGGCGTGCAAAATCCCCCTCCAAGCTGGAAGAACACAAAACTCACCAAGGCAGGCGTCTCCATTGCTTCGCGAACCGAGTGACGGGCGAGAATGAGAAGGTTGATGAAAGGGCGATCGTGGGCAAACAGTTGTACCTTGACGTACTCGGAATGAGCCAGGGCGAGCAGAATCAGAACGCCACTCCGGATAATTTACTCCAAGACGCTGCAAAAGTCCGATACGAGCTTCAATCACTCTCGCAGATGCACAACGACGCCCAGAGTCGGCTCGAAAACATTGGCCCCGCCACCTTACAACGACAACCTGATAACATGACCGACTTTTCTTGGATCGACATGACCCTAAGAAAGCTGGAAGCCGAAATCCCACCCGCTTTATGGTCCTCCAAGGCAGCTCAGTATAAGTATGACTACATTGGGAGCAGTAAACAGGTGCTTTCCGATGCGCACCAGAGCCCGTTTAGCAGCGACGCCATGGCCGACATGGCAGTGCGCGACACTCTCTCACAGAGCGATGATGCTTCCGAGCAGACAGAAGAGGAGCTATCCGAGGCGGACAAGCCCGGCACTAGCCGTGAAGAGGCTGTGAGGCCCCGAAACCAACCGGGGGATGTTTCTGACCAGCTACCTTGTGGCCATGAAGCTTGTGGGCCACGAGTTTCGCGAGCAGATGAAAAGCGCGCCATCGTGCTTGGAAAGCAACGGGCGTAAGCTGCTGATGGAGTTAGTCGACAGCGAGAAGAAACGTGATGCGTCGGAAGCGGACTTTTGCAGTTTAGACGCCCAAAGACTGAGGTGATGGAGAAAGTACTGCGAGCTAGGGATGAGGTTGTTTGAAAGGTGGTTGAGTGCGGGGGGACACCGTTGATGATGTGACTGTGGATGCATCTGGCTTGCTGCCCGGGACTACACCGTACATGGCGCTTTGATAGAATCGAATAAAGAACCGCGACGCGATTTTATGCAGTGTGCAGCTGCCCGCCACGAGGATACATTTACAATGTGGCATAATTCAAGCTGTCACATCTTACAAGCACATTTCGAAGACCCATACGACTCATACGGTCAAGGCCATGGTGAGCGACTTGAGAAAAGGGTGTACACGCGGGTACGCACGGGTAGAAATGGATGCCACGGTACATCCGTGGGTACATGTAAGTAGACTCTGTTATAGTAAAACCAAAGCATGTCGCTTTTCTTACTACCTATAGATGCCGCGGTAATGCCTGCCCATGGGTACCCGTAAAAGCAATACATATGTACTGCATACCCAACCGAGGGAGTTGTCAGATGGGAGAAGGCTTTCCAACAAGGGAACATGTCCCAAACTGGGGATGATCCAACGGGCCGGCTCAAACGGGAAAATCAAAGCGCGGGAATTCTCCAGGTTGTTCATCCTCGTCATGGCGACGTACGCCGTAGAAAATGCAATACCTCATGGGGGCGCATGGGGGCGGTCCGCCCCCATCACACCGGTTCCCATACCCGCTTGCGTCGCTCAAAACGCAGAGCCGGAATCAGATGCGTGCTGGTTGTTCGAGGACCAACCAGGTTGTAGCCGAACAATATTAAATATGCGCAAGCAGCTGGGCAGGGGTTCCTCCCGCCCTTCAAGATCTCAAGTTCACACTCCCTCTACAAAACACCATATTCTCCGTCATGCACAGCACGGGAAAACCCTCGTATTGGATAGAGGTAGAAGACTGGCACACGGCGGGCGAACCATTCCGGATCGTGGATAAACTGCCGGCCGGTCACCTCCCGGCCTCGCCCACGGTCGCCCAGAGACGCGCCGACATCACGGCGACCCCGGGCCACCCTCTCGACGAGCTCCGCCGACTGCTGTGCCACGAGCCCCGCGGCCATGGCGGCATGTACGGCGGCTTCATCACGCCGCCGGACGACTCGGGCGCCCACTTTGGCGTCTTGTTCTGGCACAGGAACGGCTTCTCCACCGCCTGCGGCCACGGCACCATCGCCCTCGGCTACTGGGCCGTCTTTCACCGCATCGTCGTGGTGCCCGACGCCGATGGGGTAGTCGACGTGGTGGTCGACGTGCCCTCGGGCCGTGTGGTGGCGCGCATGGCCATAGAAAAGGGGAAACCGGTACACGCAGACTTTATCAACGTGGCCAGCTTTCAGCTGACGGGGCCGCTGTATCTGACACTCCCTTCGTGCGGCATCGACGTCCTTGTGGATTTGGCCTTTGGCGGCGCCGTCTACGCCAGCTTGGACGCGGCTCAGTTTGATCTAGAGATTGAGCCCAGGAGCGCGCAGCGCTTTGTTCAGCTCGCGAGAGAGGTCGAGGCGGTGCTCGGCACCAGAGCGCGTTACGGTTCGTATGACCTCTACGGGGTGATTTTCTTCAGCGAGGAGGAGAATGGTCCAAACGCAACGCATGCCATCTACCAGAGAAACGTGACCATATTTGCAGATGGGGAGATTGACCGTTCCCCCTGCGGCTCCGGAACCTGCGCCAGACTCGCCCTCTTGTTTGCGCAGGGCAAGCTGGGCCCTGGGTCCTCGAGACTCGTGCATCGGTCCATCATAGCGTCGACGTTTGAGGCGGACATTGTGTCTGCGGTAGCGAGTCCCGTCGACGGATTCCCGGCGTGTATTCCACGCGTTAGGGGGCGGGCCAACTTGGTTGGGCAGACTAGGTTTTTCATCGACCCAGACGATGAAGTCTTTCCTGGCTTTCTATTATTATAGTCTTGGCCGAATATATTTTGCAAATACAAGTTACACGTTACGGTATTGCTCGTATTGGTCGACATGCGAATGATGGAGTATTACACCCCGACTAGGCTATGTGTGGGAAATAGTACGTCCACCCGGGTTGCTGAAAGACACGCTCCGGTAGATATGCCACCGATACAAAACATTCGACAACCAGGTACGCCCTTGCAAACAGATAAAACAAAAGAAACAGCACAACTATCACAACAATGATCCAAATCGACATTTCATTCCAGAGCTTGCGAAGGTACGAATTGTCGGGGATGTCTTCCCGAGTGACAACAAGCCATCGGCACACACAGCCATCCTAGGAATATAACAAGGGCGCCCGACGCAGCTATGGTAACAGCCGAAATGCGCCAGAGCGTCTTCTGCGCAGCTGATGTAAATGGCGAGTTCCACGCAAGCAAATGAAGGGCGCCATACGTGAGTCCTGCACAAGCAAAGGCAATCAGGACCACGACGCCATCCCGATGCTCGGAAAATGGGCCGCCGTACACGAGTCCAAACATGTCTGAGAATCCACCGCCGGTTGGTCGATTTCGTGCTCTATCGTGAAGTCGACATTTTGGGGCCCGTAGCCCCCCTTTGTTCTCCAGCTTGATCTCGTGTTGAACGATACTCTCAAGTCCTGGTCTGTTGGATCTCCAGGCAGAGCATGCCAATTTCCAGCGGCGCAAGTCGCGCGGATAACAGCAGAAACATCTCTTCCTCCCGAAATAACTGTGCAGTGGTGTTTTCTTGGCAGACATGCGCCTTTGGCGGCCGATTCGGAACTGTGACTGACGCAGGATGGGAGACTCCCATCTTGGCCGTGTTGTTCCGACGATGGAGCTTCGAGGCTTGGAATGGAACCCAGCTCTATGTCCTGTTCAGAGTCTCTGAAGTGACCGGTAGGATCCCCATCTAGGCGTGCGGAAGACCATGGCTCTCCATGATGAGCTTGACTGCTTCTAGAGTCTACAGACACACGTGCAGCGAGTGGCGAGGTTGACGCTCGCGGTGGCATGGGGCCTCGAAGCTGCTCGTCCCAGACTTGTTGTATTTCTTTGGTGAAGCTGTAGGCATTCCGTCTTTGCACCCAAGCAGTAAAGCTCTGCGCACATTCTTTCAGCAAACAGTCCAGTCTTGTATCGTCAAAGCCATACCATTTCAGGCGCCAGCAGGCCCAGAACCAGCCAGCCCACCTTCGGTCACATTGGAATATTGGCTTCGCAAACAGGGCGATACTTGGTGCAGCTTAGCCGCCGTTGACCGCAACACTGGAAACTGGCCTAGTGTTCAGGGGAAGTGCCTCAGTGCGCAGAGTCCAGCCTCGTTCTGCCTGGACTATTGATTGACTGTGTAACACGAGGTGCATAAACACGCGCGAAAGACTGTAAGCCGTGCATGTCCCAAACCCAACCAAAGACTCTAGATGTCTCTTATGCGTTGGCCCTGAATCTGGTAAATGCTGTGGTTCAACATTTCGACTCTAATTACTTCGTACTCCGTAGATGCTGTCACGGAGGCGTCGCGCGTCCTACTATGCCCTCGGGCGACAATGGAACTCCGGACAAGTAAAGAGAAATGTTTCAAGCTTACCGAGTATAATATGACCATCTGTCGATACAGGGCGAATCGCATTGTTGGCATGCGAGAAGCTTTTGCTAGAAACTACGAAGTATAAAGGGTTTCTTTGTATGTAAACGATTAGTTGCATTCATTTTTGATAGCGCGTATATGTGGCTACTATACATTGTCTCGCCATCAACCTGTCTTTAATGCGCGAATCTTCCTGGTAACGGGAGTCAAAATCACACCCGGTGCCAAAATGCATGGCGACATGCAGGAAGAGACGTCGTGAAGGGACCAATGTGTCCCTCGGCGGATCGGGATATAACGCTCCCGTCGATCTAGGCTTGGAGGCAGCTAGCGATGGCAGGCTAAGTCATGTCGAAAGGATTGACAAGATTGAAGACTTTGTTTTGCGTATCGGCCGTATGAGATCATGTACATGGTCAGCGTGGAGACGGCTGTTTCACGGGGCTGTGGACTTTACATAGCAGAGTTCCCAGACATGATGGAAAGTGAAGCTTACGCTGCCCACAAGTAGCCATCTCATTGACATACTCCAGCTGAAAAAGCCCTTTGCGGAGTAATATTGCGGCAGCTGGCCAGAAACTGGGCCATCATTTGAGTCTACCATGCAACCACCACGGATGGCGGGTTACAGTCGAATGGATCCTCTCATTCTGCTGTGCGTTTGAGACATGTCTGAAGACTATTGATGTATTACTACATTACCAGTCACATCTCCCTCAGGAAGCATGAGACTGGCCAATGAATATGCAATGTAGGCCAAATAGTGCCATAAACGCTCTGTAGTTTCGGGGATTTCTCCGCAACACGCACAACCTTCGAGTCCGACATGAAATAAGATGCTGAAGCGATGCTTGTGGGGAAAGGCACTTCAATTTTGGCGACTGAACTACCTGAGATTTGCCATCGAGTCAATGTGAAAATATAACCATATATTACCGCTGACATCGACTTCCTACAACCTCCTCTGTAACTCTTGTCACATCACGCTTATCAATGTCATCTCCTCTTGCCGTAAAACAGCCGTCTGTGGCTTCAATTTTTGATATGTCATATTTGATGCTACATACATTAAAAAACAACAACAGTCTATTTGAATCGGTTCTGCATGCTTACATGTTTACCAAGGTACACTGCTCGTTTTCCCGCCGCACTGCTGGAAAATAAAGGTGTATTTTCTCGTCACTATGATTTCGGTACGCTTACAAAGGATATAGTAGAGAGAATAGAACCATTCTTTCAATACGATGCCGTACTATTTTTATTGGCTGGTATAACAGATGAGTACTCCCAGGGAATGCCGTACAATTGGGCCGTGAGCCGCTCTGACAAGTCAGAACCGCCCACGTCATACTAACCGAAACATGTCTTGGGCCACGCTGTGGCGTTTCAATATATCGTATTTCCATGCATCATGGAACAAATTCAGACATCGGTCAACAAGGCCCCGCAGCTGAAACGCCCTTTTGAAGCAACGTCAGGCAACAAGTCGAGAGCAACTAGCATAATGGTAAACAAAGACGTGGCAATCGAAGAAGTTATCAGTCCCAAGTTCCCTTCCATTGTCGTAAAATAATGGACTCTACTTATGATTTGTTCTCTTAAAGTGTGCAAACACCACTGACAGAACTTCAAACTGTTCTGTATCACTCACAGCAACGCTTCTCATCCTTTGCCCGTACTTCTTTTCGCCCAAAGTCACCATGAGTAATAATGACACCCCCGTGGCCTTTGTTAAGAAGTGGATTCTGCAGCAAACTCGTCTAGTCCTCCCGCCTACGTGGAATGGTGGTTGGGAGCGATGGGCCCAGGGTCAAATCGCAATATTAATGGAAGGTCAAGACGGGTACCAGGTCTGGACAGAGCAAAACATCTATCTCGATCACCCCAACTACGCTGTTGATCTCGAGTTTCGAAAACCTCCTGGTGTGAGGGGTGTTCGAAAGTTCCTCGAGCTCAAGTGCTACAGCGAGGTTAACGAAGACACAGCCTACCGGTTCATCACTCGGGTGTTGGAGGACTTTGACAAGGTCACTAAGCTGAGGCTGACGCGCGGTGTGCCCAACGAGCCCGACGCAAAGGGGTCGACTCTGTGGGTTATTGGCATCTCGCAGAAGCAGTTTAGGGACGACATCACGCGCGCCGGGCTGGGTGAGGTGAACTGGCTGCGGTTTAGGCGTGAGGAGGCCGTGAGTTCTGGGGGTAGCGGCGACCGGGGCACATTTGATATCTGGTACTATAGCTTTGTAAACAACAAATAGGCAGGATACTCATCAGCAGGCAATACTGCGCAGAGTTTTGCCCGAGGTGTGCGGTAGGCTAATCGTGGGAAGCCTATGATACAAGGGAATGACTTAGATACTGAAAGGCTATCGGTAGTTAAAACGCAATCTATATGTTGCGTCTGGAATCAAGGTAAAATGTTTTCTTTTGGAAGAACATTGTGGGCAGGGTGGACATTGATCGATGCGACTGATATGTTTCGGTATTGGAAGTGGAATACGCACGCAAGACGACCGTGCCTAGATTGTCGCAAAGAGACGTTAATATGGATTTCTGATTCAAGAAAGAAGGCTTGAATAATGTGGATTAAAGCTCCATCTAAGGAGGTCTCAATAACTCGTTCCCAGTGGTCAGGGTTAGGGTTAGGCGCCAAGTCCTTTTGGACGAGCCGATGAAGAACGCGTTTTTCTCATACCAGAGTCAAGGAAATGAACATGAATCATAAGACAAGGGGAGTAAATCCGTAATCCTGCAGATGCTGATAGCTCTCCCACACCATCCGGCCGCCCTGCAACCCGTCATCATGCAGGCTTCCCCGCGATTACCAGATATGTGCTCAAGTCACCGTGGAGGATTTCGCCACAAAGTCCCCCTGTTTTGCTGCAGAGAAAACGCTAACCATGGCCAGCGGTCATTACGGATCCGTGCTCGTCACAACGCTCGAAGAGTTCAAGAAAAACTTGAGTAAACGAGATATAGAAGAGTTTAAGCGGGTTACAAAACAGGAATTTGACGCGAGCATCGGGAACTTGCAGGCAAGACAGCACTCGCAACGGCGATTGCAGAACATGAGTCGACTGAAACGGTTCCTCGAGACAATGGAACAGTTTTGGAATGTAGCGCAGGTATTGTGTGACCACGGCGAGATTATAGCCTTCGTCTGGGTAGGTGGTATCTGAGTAACGATGCCGCGACACAACGACTGACTTCTTTCCAGGGGCCGACCAGGCGATTGTTGCAGGTATGATGCACGGGTCCTTTTCATCAGTGCCAACGAATGACACCTGTGGGCAGATATCGAGCTCAGTTGCCGAGGCTTTCGGCCAAGTCCTCGATACATATGAGCGTATGGGAGACAACCTACCACTTCTTGGCCACTATAGAGATTTCTTCTTGACTGAGCCTCACATGGTACAAATACTACAGCAAATGTATCTAGATATCCTTGACTTTCACAGGATTGCTTTGCAGTACTTTCAGCAGCCGCGTGAGTCCTGATGTCTTACACTTCTCACTTGGCAATTTTGCTAATGCTTTGAGCAAAGAGTGGGAGCGGCTCTTTAATACGACGTGGAAGACATGCAAGTGTCGTCTCTCCGACAAAATTTCCAAAATTGCTCGTCATCGAAGTCTGATTGAGAGTCGTGCCACCCCATCCCAGGTTGAAGAGTCGCAGAGAGTTGGGCAACGAGAAGATTGTCAACGGGACCAGGAAATGGATTTCGAGCAGGAGAGCCGATTTAGAGCGGTATGTAGCTGGTTAAACGCCACAAGTATCGAGACCGATCAGTATTATCATTCCAAAATTCGATCAGAGTATCCTGGCAGTGGACGATGGCTTTTGGACAACGCAACTTTTAAAGAATGGTTTGATCCGCAATTTCCTACAATTCCTCCTCTACTTTGGCTCAACGGTATACCTGGTGCCGGTAACTAGTTCTTGACCCGATGCATGAAGTCTGGAAGATGATGCTGATTGTAAAATAGGGAAGACTATCCTGGCGTCACTTGTCGTGGAAGAGGCACAAAAGCTCCCGACCAAGCCAACAGTGCTATTCTTCTACTGCAAGGATAGTAACTCCGAAAGGGACAATTTCCTCGCCCTTGGCCGGAGCTTACTTGCTCAACTTCTAAAAAGTGACAAGGGTTTACAGCCCTATTTCTACCAAGAGTGCTGCGGTAGTACAGGAGCTGTACTTACTTCCCCAGGAGTAGTTGAGAATCTTCTCATACTTGCGTTCAAAAATTGCCCCTCCGCATACATAATTATTGATGGCCTGGATGAATGTGTAAGAGAACAGCGGAAACATATTACACAGTGGTTCAGAAAGTTAGTTGAAGATCTCCCCAGTGATAATCCCGACAGAATACGCTGTCTGTTCGTGAGTCAAGATGATCGCCATGCTCGAAAAGACTTTACTGGACTTGCCAGCATCAAGATGAGCCCCGAGGACAACAAGGGCGACATTGATGGTTACAGTCAAATCCAGGCAGTTGAGGTCCAACGCAAGTTTCAGCTTTCGGACCAAAAAGCAAGTGAGGTCTCTGGCATCGTGAACAATTCTGCCAGAGGCATGTTCTTGCTCGCAAAACTGATATGGCTAAACCTGCTAGGACAGACATCAGTCAGTGGCTTAGAAGAAGAACTAGAGGAACGCATTTTCCCAAGGGAGGTCAATGATGCGTAAGTGTTCAGAGGGGCAAAAGATGGCCTTGATTCGTTCCTTTGACTAAAACCATCATAGCTACCGACGAATTATGCACAGAATAAAGACGCAAGCGTCTCGTGCCGAGTTGCGGGACGCGTTGATGCTCCTTGGGTGGCTCGTGTGTGCAAAAAGACCGCTCAGATGGCACGAGGTCCAAGGGCTAAAGTCTATCAACCTGGATAAGCTCTCAGTTGAGTATGAACGGCAACGATTTGTGGTGGCTCCTAAAGATCTATGCGAGTCTTTGGTGGAGGTCCGAGTAGATGGAACTCTCGAGTTCGTTCATCAAACTGTGAAGTTGTGAGTTCTCCAAGTGCATCTGAAGAAGCCGCCTCTGATAACGAGTCCAACAGCTTTTTAATTGAGGATAAGCACGTTGATCAACCTGTTGAAGAGCTCAAGATGGCGTGCCTCTGTATCGACTACTTGAACCTCCCAGCCTTTATACAGCCCCCGACTCAAGATGCAGTGCTCAACGGGGATTACGTATTTATGGACTATGCAGTCCTGTACTGGATTCGACATCTGGAAGCAGGTGTTGTACATGCCGATGCTCATCAACAACTGATGAACCAGCTTGCCGAATCATTGGAAGTTTTCATCCACCACCATTGGTCTTCTCCGACTGCAAAATTTGCAGTGTCAAATGGAAATCGTGACAGACTTCAGTTCTTCAAAGGCTTGCCTTTCTACGATAAGCTTGAGAAAACAATCATCTCGACAAGAAAGCAGCTAAGCTTCTTCGGACAGATGAAACAGGGCGAGATTGCTCTGAATCTTGCAAACATTGTTGTCAAAGTACGCGCCGTTATGGAAAGCATACTGTCCTCCACGATAGGAGTAGAATCCCCCGTGAGAGAAGGGCTCCAAGAGAAATATGGTAGCAATCTCTTCAAATGCTACAGGTTTAGCTGCCAGTCTTTCACGGCAGGGTTCTCCGCGGCTCACGAACGCGACAAGCATATCGGACGGCACGATCGGCCGTTCCGATGTACAGATGAAGCGTGTACAGGGTTTCTCCTTGGATTCATATCGGAGAAGGAACGGGATAAGCACATGAAAACCACGCACGCAGCGGCAGATATACAAGACGGGAAATTCCCAACGGATGAAGATGTGCGGAATAGCGTGGCAGAGGCACACGAGGTAGAGAGGGAGTCTTTAGAGTCAGAGTCCTCAGAGTCTTCTGAGTTTTCAGAGTCTTCAGAGCCACAAGGAGCCCTTGTACCACGACAATCGCCGAAACCAAAGCGGCCACGACAAACATCATTCAAGTGTCCGCATTGCCCGGCCACCTACAACAGACGGTACAATTTGCAGTCACACCTCTATACGCACACGAACGAGCGGCCGTATGTATGTAGCGTATGTGGGACTAGCTTTTCGAGGCGCAGTGATCACAAGCGTCATAAGAGCACACACACAGGACGGAGGCTTTATTTTTGCCGTGGTAATCTCAAGAACGGGGACGGATGGGGCTGTGGGAGATCGTTTGCCCGCACAGAAACGTTAAGACGACACCATGAGTCTAGAGTCGGCCAGCGATGCCTGCTCCCTTGGTTACAGGAGCAAGAACTCGAAGGACAGGGCCAGATATCAAACACGTAGAAGACGATGAATGATTGAAATATACCATAGAAGATGTCTGAGAAGGAAAGTAGAGTACGAATAGGCATCTCGGCATTTCAATTTGAATTATACATGTGGTATTAGGCGTCCAGAGGGCTTGCGTACGAAATTTCTCCCCCTGAGGCATAGATAGATCAGGAGGAGTACCGGGCTGTGAGGAAGTGCCCTTGAACAGACCATCATGTATGGTAATCTCGACCTGCTTGACAAAACTGATACGCTGGCAGACGAAATGGTGGAGGGGAGGGAGAAACGCGACGCGGTTCGCAACGAAGTTATGAAGAGGCGAGCATGGGGTGAGAGGGGATATGGCCAAAGTTAACAGCCTCGCCAGAGAATGTGAGCAAGTTTATGTCACTTTTTTTTATCATTAAACTGTTTAAACTACCGCCCAGTCTGGTTTACGTGTATACTCACGTCGCGATGCCGCGTCATTCCCGGCTACCGCAGCCAAACTCGATCAAGAGGAGGACCCTGTAGAAAGTAAATTACGACTCAGCAAGGTGACGGGACACCCCAAGTTGAAATTTGAAAACTGTCAAAGGGTAGGCTACCGTCTGCTTGATTGGCTACTTTTCGCATGGAAGAGGGAACTCAGCCCAGGAATTACGGCTCAGCGTTTTTTATGAGGGCCTGATACCGAAATGAAAATCGAAAGCTGCCAGAGGGTAGTCTCCCTTCAGTCCCATTGGACAGTTTTGAGGGAGCAAGCCCCTGGCGTTTGGCCAGCCTTGCTCTGCGGAGGCTTGGAATCCATGTCTCATTAGGCTGCAATGCATAAGGTAAGTTAGTACGGAGTACGGAGTAACTACTCAGTACAGAGAGTCCAGATCTGGACCATTCGTGGAACAGACAGCTCAGCTAATGCTGTTGGCTGCCTAGGACACCAACCGCCCCCATCATCGCAGAGTACGACGTAGCATTGTTCCTTCTACTGGTCACTTTTATGCAGAGTCACCCTACCTGATAGTCATCCATATGATGCAGATGTCTTAAAATGATGTACTCGGCATTGGCATTGGTAGTAGGCACTTCGTTATTGCATCATCCGCAGCCTTACAGTTGAGTTTATCAACAGCCATTCCAGCCGGGAATCGAGGTAAATTAATGGCGCAAAATCTGATGTCTGAAGGTCTGAGATGCGAGCCCTGAAAACCCGGGAAATTGACATGGACCAGCTGACCAGACTCGACTTCAGTTTGCGGAGCTGGAAACCCGGGGACGTAGCCGGCAGCGTAGGAGAAACAAAATGGCATGGGTTTCAGCAAATCATGAATGGACAGGGCAGCCCTCAAGTCTAACCATCCTCAGGATCTACAAAAATCGATGTACTTTTGTCTCAGCCACCATGTCGTGTCACATTATCCTCCGGGCGGGAGGCCACCCACGAATGACACTCGTACTCCGTATTCTTCCCAACAAGATCTTTCTCAGCTGTTTCATCATCAGAAGTAACGCCACGGAGACCAAGTTCATCGAGTAAAGCCGGATCCATGCGGCTCTTGAAAACAGCAAACTATGCGCTCTTTGAGGCACACGACATCCCAGTGCCTTTCCCACACTACGCCATTCTCTCCCACACATGGACGTCACCCAAGGAAGAAATCACCTACCAGGACATTAGGAAGAGAAAATCAGATATAGAGAATAACATCTACAAGCAAAAAGGCTGGTCAAAGCTGACAAAGTTCTGTGACCGCGCCGCAAAGGATGGGTGGGATTGGGCATGGATGGACAATTGCTGCATCGACAAGACCAACCCTGCTGACATACAAGAGGCTATTAATGCCATGTTCCGATACTACCAGGATGCTGGCCTCTGCTACGCATACCTCGAAGACGTGGATGCTCTCGCGGCACTTGAAGATGCAGGTCTACACGAGGATGAGGATCCAGACGAGATCGCAAATCTTAACGATATTGCTTGTCCCGATAGCCTTGCCTATGAAGCTCTTCATTCCGATTTCATCAAGGCCAGGTGGTTTTCCCGAGGATGGACATTGCAAGAACTGCTTGCTCCCCACTACTTGGTCTTTGTTGATCGAGAGTGGCGCCGTATCGGCAGCCGGGAGACCTGGGCCTCGGAGATCAAGGAGGCGAGCAGCATCGAAGCCCGACATTTAACGTCTTTCAGGCCGACGGATTTTCAATCATGTTCTATAGCAATGAGACTATCCTGGGCGTCTCGGCGGGTAACAACCGTCCAGGAGGACGAGACGTACTCACTATTGGGCCTGTTCGGGGTCAGCCTCCCATTGATCTATGGCGAAGGGAGATGGCGAGCGTTTAACAGGCTCCAGCGCGAGTTGATCACAGTTTATAACGACGACTCTATATTTGCCTGGACGGTAGAGCAGCCAACAGTATCAGGACAGAGTTGTCACCCATATGAAGGCACGGTGCTTCCATACCAGGTCTTCTTGATTCAAGCTGACTTTTTGCCATACAGGCAACAACTCTGGATGGGGCATCCTTGCAAGCTCCAGTGAGCAGTTTCGGGGTGCTTCCGAGATCGAATCCTTGGGCCATTTCTCTAGCAGCTTCTCCATGACCAATCGAGGTTTAGAAATGAGAGCCAAGCTCATTAGGCACAAAGGAGACCCTAGCTTGTGCCTTCTCCGCCTGAATTGTGGTGTACAGCCCGGCGGGTATGTTGGAATATACCTTAGGCATGTTTACGACGCCTATGATAGAGTACATGTCCAAGAGCTTTGCGACATGGACAACCTCGACCCCAATGATTGGGAAGGAGAACGTGGGAACTCGCCGATTCTCATTCGAGTGAGTAGTTCTGCGGACACACTTACTCGCTCATCGATATTTGCTTTGGAGTATCCTGCACATATTCGCATTGGCACCAAGTACTTCGTGGACTTTAGCCCTTCAATGATTGACAGCAGGATGCAAGTCTTTGATCAAGATTCTCAGTCGACCCTACTTCCCGACCTGACAGAGGATGAGCTCTTCACGGAGCCAAACAGAACAATATTCATTAATATTGAGCTTCTGACCGAGGGATTCAAATGGGAGCTTGACGTGATAATCAACCTAACCGAGAACGGTTTCCCTTCTGTCGGTGTTTTGGGACGGGCAAGCGAACCGTGGGAGCGGCTCGGGGATCCCTTGGGGCTGGCTTCTCAACGATATGATGCGTTGGCCAATTATCTCCATTTCAGAGTACCGTCGGAGCCAACATACCCAACACTTGCTGTGAATGAGATCAACAATTGTGCCGTTGGTGTCTCCCTCCTTCCTAGGCCGTTGCATGGACGGCTGCTCAACCAGCCACCGGAGATGGCAAAATTCCTTTCGTTGAGGGAGTACGTGCTGAGAATTAAAATCCGCAGACATATACCGCTGAGTTGTGCATGACAGAGCATGGAAACCTTGATCTTTGCTACGCATTGTCTCTCGCCATGTGCGGGCACCCACTGAATGACTGCCTCGAGTTTTTGTCTTCTTCCAAGAGAGAAATCCCGGCGAGCCTTGCCAACAAAGCTCCGTCGCAAGATCAGTGCGGGCTGGCCCATACTGCGGCGGCGGCTACAGAGGCTCTTGGAATCAAAGCTCATCGTTGTCACTATTCCCTGAACTGTTGATAAGCCCATCCCGAGCCACAGACTGGCTCTGGTGAAGAGCAACTAGAGTCTGCCCACTAGCCCATTCCAGTGAGCTGGCCTCATCCTCGTCTTTGAAGTGGAAACCAATCTGGAAATATGCCGTGTCCCATGTCGTGAACCGGGCTCGTCTAGCCTGCTCGTCATAGTCTGGTGCCCACTCAAACATGTCACCCTGAAGATGACGAAGTTGATACATCTGTTCCTCTCTGCCCAGGAATAACAACTCCAAAAGATGCGCGTCTTTTAGGCTCTGCCGGGTTTCGATGAAGAAATTACCAAGCACGTTTCGATAACGGCCACAGTAGACGCCGAGCGGCCGCGGGTCTATCCCAGGAGATCGAGGATAGTCTCGCGGATGTACTGGTAGGCGGGTTTGCCCGAAAGCTTCTCGATGACTGCACCGGCGACACTATATCCCCAATTATTATATACCTAAGACTTGCGGAACGGAGCAACCGTATTTAAGCGAGACACGGCTGGAAGAGTATCGAATGGAGCAAGCATGAATTCCAGGTCATCCTGAAGGGCAATAGACATGTCTCCAGATAGACCCGTGCGATGCGAAAGAAAGTCAACCAGAGCCACCTTTCCATCCAGATCCGACTGCTCAGGCTGGTACTCGGGCAGTATATCCTGGATTGGCGAGGTCCAGGTGACTCCCGTATGCTTACCGATGAGCTGCGCCAGGCTTCCGGCGACAAAACCCTTTGTGAGCGACCTATTCCGTACACGGTGTCTGATGTTGGCGGCAGCTTCGCAGCGACATCTCTGTGGCCGATGTGCGTCGTGTAGATGTTTTGGTCCTCATGAAAGACGCCAATCGAGGCCCCAGGAAGGCCCGAGATGTCACAGATTTATCTGATGAGTGGTAGAGCGTCACTGAGACGGTTGATGACGTCTCCTGGCTTCATAGCTGTCTTTGGTGTCATTGGCTGGCATCAGTCGCGATTGTTGTTGTTGACTAGGTCTGATGACAACGTAAGCCCTTGTCATAAGTGTAAGTAGTGGAGGGTCAAAATTCGAGGCTTTTGGGGCTGTTGAATTCGGCGCTTTCGAAGCTTCTGTTGGATTCGAGGCTTTTGAAGTTGTTGAATTGAAGCTGGTAGGTGGCTTTGGAAGGTGCCCACTGCCTACAACACTAAAACGGCAGGTTCGCGATGATCCACAAAGTACGTACCAAAGCGCCGCTTTGCTTAATAATCAGGGTATGAGCAGCTTGCGTACGCCGGTTCTGAGATTAAGCGTGCCGCCACAGATCGTTCTCTCCACTTTAATAGTTGTGGCGCAGCTGCCAGCCAGGCACGGGAGACAGTGTTTTCCCGCTTTCGCCTCGCCCCTATTTTCTCAAACATATCTTCAATTCTTACCATCAGACCCAACCATGTCGGCTGGACCGATCCTATCTCAACTATGGTGTTCATTTTGGGCACAATTGGTGAAATTGCCACAATATTTGTCACAGCTGTTTTGCGGGCTTCTTCACAGGGGTCAGTCGGGGCATGGATCACGGGGCCCTCTATCCTCCACATCGGCAGAGCGCGCCAAAGAGCTTCTCTTTTCCCCAGATGAGCTCATTCCCGGTGGCCAACTTCACAAGAGTACGCCATATCCACTCACTCCGCAGCAAGTGGAAAATTCTATTGAAACGTTTATTGCCTCAATAAACAAATCTGCCATTTGTGCTCTAGCATCAAGACATAATGGCGGGAAAAGCTGTAGGATTATCGACCAGCGGAATGGTAGCTTTAACATTTGTTTCTTTGTTCTCTTTGATGCCGAAGATGTCAAATGGGTTGTTAGAATACCGATTGAACCAGTTATTAGCAATACCTGGGCCAAGGTCGTCAGTGAGGTCACCACTATAAAGTACGTTTCATTATTATTTTTTGCCTGAAGAGTGGGCTACTACTAATTTGGCTATTCAGGTACATCAAGTCGAAGACGACGATTCCATGCCCCGATGTCTATGGGTACGGACATGAAGACACATTAATTGAAGGTGTTTCAACACCGTTTATGTTAATGGAATGTCTACACGGCCAACAACTTAGCACAAGGGCGGTCTTGCACGCAACCGAGACTCAACGAAGGAATCTGTACATTGATCTTATTGATACTCTAGCACAACTAAGACAGCTCGAGTTCCCGGCGGCTGGCTCGCTGATTCCAAAGTCAGAAAGCCTGGACAACGAATCAGACCCTATAATCGGTCCACTTCTCTCTATGACTGTTAATGAGTTTGAACGACAGCGTGCAATGCCACAGGCTACAGAAGTTTATACATCTATGAAAGATTTTATAGATCTTCACAGCCACATTCTATCCGAGACATTTCAACTACCGGTTCAAGAACTAGAATACAGACAGGCTAAGATGGAAATATTTGCGCTGAACAGCATAGCGAAGGAAATCCGTACTTGCAGCGAGTTACAAGAGCCTAGTCACTTATTTGTATTAGCACATCCAGATTTAAGATGTGGTAACATTCTTGTTGATGATGATTTTCATATCCTTGGCATCATTGACTGGGAGTTTACACATACAGTCCCCCGACAACTCCTGTTACCGCCACCATGGATCACAGGCCATGACCCTGACACTCTCCTTGTTATAACAGGCGTTCCACGTCACCAAATCTTACAAGAGTTCAGCCGTGTTCTCCAAGAAATGCATGAGGCATCAAATGGATGGACGTTGCTGTGGCAGGACTGGGGATTTCAGCAAGGCATTCATCTACAGGTGGAAGGACCACTATTAAGGCTATCCCCCGTATCTCAAATATTGCGCCACCCCTCTAGCCTTATGGATGTGTATTACTCGTCTATTTTCCAACGCATTTTCGGATCTGCAACCTGCAAAGACGTGGTCATCAACGACTTTTTTGAAGACCAGGAAAATCGAGAACTTGCAATGCGTGTTGAACTTCAAATGCAGCGTTCGGGGCGCTATACCGATCACTTGAAATCCCGCGGTTTATTCATTGCAGACGAGCGATCTCAACAGCTTCAAGACGTCCTGACAAATTTGCAAATTTTAATGCAAGCTAGACAGGAAGGTCTTGAGAAGAAAGGGAAGAATTCGATATCTTCCAGATAGGATTTATCAGAGCTGCGTATTGTCTTGGACTCGTGGGACTCGAGTCTGCAAGGTCCTGCTTCTGCTACGGAGTACATCACGTCAGGCGTGATAAAAGTTTTCACAGTCTCGAATGTAGTAAGCTGGCCAATGATGGCAAAGACGTTTCCTCCACTACAGGTTTTTCGATCTGAACCCAGTTCCAATACCCCGCACGCTGAGCCATAATTTGGGGGCCACGAAACCGCCTATGACGACATGGAGCATCTCGAAGAATGTCTCTCTCCACCAGCTAGCTCTCCGAGTCTCACCTGATTTGTTTGTGTTGTAGTCGTAGAGCCTGCATGTCCCGTTTGCTCAACCATGGTCCCTCACACATCATATAACAACGCTCTTTACTCTGTACAGAAGAATCCCACACGATTCTGTCTGACATTGAATCATGATAACGCAAGGCATGATTCCACCCTGTGTACCACTATTCAGTTCACCTGATCGCCACGATGAGTTTCGACCATGTTCTAAGAAGCGTCAGTACTACTATGGCAATGTAGTATCGCAACTCTCCTACCAGCAGTGGCCGAAGGCGCTCAGATACCATGTCCTTGTCTTTGCCGAATCCCCCATCCACTAGCTGAAGCTTCTTTCTCTGACGACCCAAAATGTTACTCTGCAACACGTTAGCTTATTGCCGAAACATTCCTGGACCGCTGCGAAGGGCTACCTCTTCAATCGTGTCAATCACCACGTATCGCACGATGGTGACGCGTGCCGTCTGGCCGAGCCGAAGCGCTCTGCCAATTGCCTGAGATTCAATATATGGGTTCCACTGTGGCTCTAACAAATAAATGCGTGATGCTACCGCCAAGTTTAACCTGCAGATCTGTTAGCAGTGTGTCCAACGACGTATAATAGAAGGGTCTGGTCGAATATGAACCCAACTGCCCCAGTCCCGAGAGTCATTAGCAGAATATTTGCTCCGCTAGGGGATCGAAAGTCATTCAGTACTTCGATGCGTTTATTCAAGGAGAGGGAACCGTATATCATGTTGTATTTTATCCCGTGAGTATGGAGAAGTTGGCTGACAAGGCTGAGCGTCTTCTTCCAGCATGAAAAGACGATGCTAAAAATCACAACAGTTCAGTCACACTACCAACCCACTAATTTCATGTCGTGGAGAGCGAAATACCTCTTTTCCGTAGAAAATCTGCGGATGTCAGACAAGAGTTCCCGCAACTTGGACGGATAGCTTTCAGGCCGATCGAAACTATTGTTCTCGGGTCCGGCATGGGACTGTATCTGTCTTCCGGTTGATGATGAAGTGTTTAGAAGAGTCAGTTTGTTTCCTCCTTCAGAGGCGCAAGCTGGACAGCGCTCTTTGCTAGCACGATGGCCAGGCTCGCAGTTACCGCAGACCAAATGGCAGCAGGAGGATATGAATCTGCCGCCGTCCGTTTCCGCAGTCTCACTGATGTAGAAGATGATTCCATTACAATACGAACACACATTCTCTTCTTGCTGTTGCAGATAGGTTAGTGCTTCATCGGGATCCGCCGGAAGCCCAGTCGATCCCGATTGCAGAATAGGGTTCGTGCTGCCGTTGTTGCAGTATAACCGTAGTTTCATGAGGGTATCAAGCAGGAACTTGTTTGAAGCGCCCTTTAAGCGACCACTGACCATCATGTCGAGGTCAGTTCTGCACTGTAAAAGTATCTTATTGTACTCCGAATACTCTGCGGCTGTGAATTTGACTCTTCTAATTTCCGAAACCGGGTCTGGCAGGTTTAGCAGCTCCCTTGTTCTTCGAATACATATACTGCGGAGTAGTACTCGGAGGTTTTCATAGCGGGTTCCCGAACCGGATACGATTGGATTGATGATGAATTTCTGAAACGAAGCAGGGTTTTTTAGGATCGGAACCTGGACGAATGAGACCAGTGCTCCGAGATCATCGAGTTTGTTCTGTATGGGAGTGCCGGTGAGACACCAATGGTGATGTGACGAAAGACTAGCAACAGCTTGGAATTGCTTCGTGGAGCGATTCCGAATGTTATGGGCTAGACGGGGAGTAAGATACCACAATCACTTGATGACGGAAGTGTGCTTGCACATACCCTCGTCTAGAACAATTCGAAACCAGTTGATATCGGCTAGGGCATTCTTACCGCCACAGAAGTCAGTCGCCAGTGTAGCATACGTGGTGAACACAATCGCCCGCTTGTGAAGAAAATCTGTTTCTGTGTGCCTTCCTAGGCCGAGGTACTTGTAAAAGGTAAGCCCGCCGGAATAGGTGTGTCTATATTTTGCGCGTAAGCTAGGTAGCTGGAAACCGTTCAGCAACTGGCGGGTCATACTTGCGAATTTCGTGAATCCAATTATCAATCAAGACTAAAAGCTCGATCAGCGGAATTTACTAAACGTCAAGTGGTAGCATAGACACCGAGGAAAGCCTTACGTGAAGATGGTGCTACAATGAGCGTTGCCTTGGAAGGAGCTTTCTTTGCCGATTTATTTGAGAACAATTGGATTTGAGAGGAAAAGAAGTCCTCTGCGCGGCCGAGAGAGCCAGCCACGGTTGATAGCATGACAAGAGACTTTCCCAGTCCCATTTCATCAGCAACAATGCCCCCCTTAGTTTCCTCTTGTTGTGGACGCTTTGCTCCGCTAAAGATGTGCTGATAACTGTACAACTAGACGTTAACGATGCTCATGAAAATGTATTCGAAATATGGACTCTAACAAAGGCTTGTCCCCGTCCAAGTTGTTATATTTCCACAAGCTCATCTCAGAGGGGAGCGAACTAGTCTCTCGCTGGAGAATAAAGTCGATGGCTTCCCTTTGGTGGCTATTTTTGATGGAAATGAAGTTAGCATGCGCTTTTCCAGATGCTTGACGCTTACATCTTACGGTAAAAGGGTACTCCTTATACGACAATCGGCGGGAAGCTGTCGTAGAAGAACGGGGTGTGATAGCGAATCAAGAATATGGTTTATCATGGTTGTAGAATCGTTGACGACAGATTCACTCTCAGTGCGTAGGTTTGCGGGATCGGCTGCTGGGGTCGCCGACGGAAGGACAGCTTCCACTCGATCTTGTTCTACATACCCTTCTATTTGAAGTATGTGTGGATTGTGGTACTCGACACTTTTCAACGAGTATCGAGGTAATTGTAGAAAAATGCCAGATTTAGACAAAATCCTGCCAATGTCTTCAGAGTTCGCTCTGATGCCGTAGATGTTGATCTCTATTGGAAGAATCGTTGAGGTTTGGTCGCCATCCCAGTTTTCTCGTATGAATGCCCGGATGCTGGCCTGTCGCCCAGTGACGGCCTGGTGGAGGGTTCGACATAGTCCTTTGCTTAAACGCGCAAGCTTTTGTCCATTATGCTCTAATGTAAAGTAGTTGCCTGTTTGTACAACTAGGATGGGATAGCCCGGGTCTTTAAACGCCTGATCGCATGATGATAAGAACTCTTTACTGCAAAGCTGAGCCTCTATATCGATGATCTAGAAAGTGTTAGCTTGGTTGGTGGTATCAGATGGATTGTTTTACACTGCCAAAACAGGTGTCTAGGCCTGCTTCAAGATTCAGTGTTTCGCCGGACAGCGTCGGCTGTCGAGACGATTTGTTGAGAGGTCCTTGTTTCTCTGTCTCAAATGGGAATGCCCGTTTTAGTGAAAGATCCATCTTTTCTGCATTCACAAAACGGGGGGGGACGTCTCGTCGTAATAGCAGATTGTGAAGCTTATTTTGATACCTCACCACCAAGCGTTTTGAAGGTGTTAGTGACTCTGAACTGTTGATGTTGACAATGTCGACGGACGAAACAGTATCGGCGTGTAGCAACACGTTCTATGGGTAACAATCAATATCCTTGTTAGCTGGCATAGTACTCCGTAGGTTGGAAGAAATGCGAGAGCACTGCGAGAGCTCTGATGACAGGGTTCGGTTCAGTCGACTCCCCTCTCTTACGTGGCGCTGCCGGATCATCATTTGCTCTGTGGCGGTGCTCCTGGCTGACTCGACTCTAGGGAATGTAATCTGGTTGAGCGCTCTTAGAGCCTCATAGTACACGGCTTGACCAATTATACTCGCTTGGACTGTTACACAAAGAATGAGGCGTCCTATCAGGGGCAAACTTGGGCCGCTAATGCTAGCTAACTGGTAGTAACAGCATGAAAGTCCGATTGCGCGGCGACCTTTACCAGTATGCGGGCATTTGGAGAAATAACCTTGAATTCCAAGACGGCGCTTCTCTCTATCACCATGAAGAACTCTACTGACTGGACACCTCCATAATGCAGACTTACACGCCTACGTGCGTCTAGAAACAGGGAAAAGCTGATCTCTGAATCCCAGTCGGAATCATAAGTATGGACCCTGGCGGCTCACGGCTCTAACATCGTGAAATTATACATCTTCGGCTACAAGAAGACCCATCTCAAAGGTTCTTCCTTTCAATCGATTCGCCATGTAAACAGAGAGCCTGAAAGTTGTCCACCAGGTTCCAGGCTGTCAACGGGGAAAGAAGTACAGGGTATCTACAACTAAGAGATGTACAAGGTTTAATTATAAAGGCAGTTGTGGAAGTGTGGCATTTCCCTTTCGCCTGGCCTAGTCAAATAGCGACACAAACTTGGTGCTCAAAGAGAGCAACCCTCAGTTACATCAGAGAAAGGCCGTCAAAGGAAACACTATGTCAGAGTGTTTTGCTATGAATTATACCAAGTCTCCAAGTAAACATTTTCAGCCTCGCTCGACATTTGGCCCAACCATCATGATTGCTGCCTACCCAAAGATATCAAAACAAAGGAGCCATATTTATTCAGCAGTCCCACCAGACAGGTGCCCGTTAATAAAAGTACTAATGTTCCTGCCCTCATTATCACTGAGCAGCTGGAAAATCAACTTGTTCATGAACTTGGGGGCCTCATGCCCTGGGGCGGTGCTTCTCCCAAGTTTGAGCTTGGTTGCGTCAAAGACGTAGAATTCATTGGAAACCCGCCAGAAGACATTGTCTGCGACCTTGTCCTTGACTTCGTAGTACCATTCGTCGAGGATGTTGAAATTTGGTGCAACAATGACATATCTATAAGACCAATCGTCATTGCTCTATTCACATTTGTAAGAATATGATCCAAGGACTAATGTGATGTGGAACAAGTGCTCACATTCTTGGCATAGGCGTAGAAAACCATGATTGTGAGGATGACGAGACGCTTAAAATCGTGCCAAGTATTGGAATGGTGTTGGAGAGTCGTCGAGCGGAACCAAAGCATGGCATACCTTCGTTCTTTAATAGCTACTTCGTCCTGGTGAATATCGAACCCGCATAATCTGACACAGTGTCCATGAAATTTAGTAATACGTCAACCGGAGTGAGGGGTAAATGATGTGTCACTTGGAATTCATGGAGTTTTGTCAGATTCACCAAGAGGATGTTGCAGAAATTTTCGTTTAAGCCAGGGTCTCGCCCAGCAGATTACGTTGAAAAGAGACTGGATGTGACGCTATATGTGAAACACCAAGAGCTCATACCACACCAGCATGCATTGGGTTGCTCTTGTTTCCATTTTGGGCCATCTGCAGGTCGTCGGCCTGGATCGGTTGATGTCCAAGATTTGTTTCTGCTCAAGTATTAAGAATGGTGCCTGCGGGGTAGCAAATCATGGATAGCCTCGAGTCAGCACACCACCTGTATCTTCCCACCATTTATGCCGCCCGTCATATTTTGTCTCGGAATGTTCCCGGGCAGATATCTTGTCATCCCGTGTGAACCGGCCATGCCCGAGCTGACTCGTTCTCAATGACGCCTTGCCACAAAAGCCAGAAGCTGGCGCGTCAAAAATGCAATATATCTGCTGCCGTCAAGCGGGGTACTTGTGCGTACTGACAGCTGAAATATATGAATCCGCAAGACTTGCTTATTGCAAAGGATCAATCATGTCGCACATACACAGTACTACCTAGGCGACGAAAAGTTTCACAAAATCACCGCACCGACACAAAGCCAGCTAGAATATTACCAAGTCATGTTAAAACTTGATTACGTTAAGCCGCAGAACTGCAAATGCTACCCTTTTCTGGCCGTGTGGCGGTGAATCAATAACTGAAACGACTTTTTTGTTGTCTCGACTGGACGAGACTGGGTTGTTTTTTAAACCATGATAGCCAACGCGCCCAAACCGAGACACGTGTTTCATATTAAAGTGTCCATATTAAAACTGGATGAGCCAAACATCCACCATGAAGCGCAAAGTCGGTCAATTCTGCAGTCAAGGCCATTGGATATCGCCATGACTTGCGTGATGGGAAGCGTCTTGGCATTTCGAGATGGATCCTGCCCTTTGTTTCTCGGAACGAACTTCTCGGAGACGTTCAAGCTGCTGTGCTGAACCTGACTATAGAGCTGAGAAAGCATTAAGCAAGTTGCCGAGCTCGAGTGTGCGGATTCTGTAATACCACAGTCTAATCGTGAATTGCTCGGCGGGCTCACTCTTTTTGCTAGGTGCGCGTATCCCCCTACTATTTACTGGATTTAAGTTATTCTTATACATACTCAAGTAATAGATGGCTAAAATAAAGTATATATTAGTATATTATAATACATAGCTTAACAGCCAGGTACCTGGTGGCGCGTGAGCGCACCTAGCAAAAAGAGTAAGCTCGCCGAGGAATTCACGTCTAACCGCCGCCATATCACCGCTGTTAATGTGAACAGTATCCAAGTATCTCCTGGACATTCTAGACAGTATCAGAAAACCCCACTCTCGTCTTATAATCGGCCTTCGACCCGACATCGATCCATCTCCGGCATTATTTCCGATGCCCCACGCCGGCGAAGATGCTTCAACATCCCAGGCGCTGTCACTTGGAAAAACCCATGCTTGGAACCCGATTAAATCTTCTCTTGGCCTGCCTTTGCTGTCGCTCATAGTCCCCCTTGCTCACAATAGGCTGGAGAAGTTATGTGTGCATATGGGAGCAGTATCATGGAGTAAATTGCTTTCAAGGCTCGGTTGCAGGTGTCTTGGCCACTCTCAAGACAAACTCGTACACTCCGAGTGTGATCACTGCCGACGGAACAGAGCGTACTAGATGCGGCGTCAACCCGCCATATAATCCTCGCCAGCCCTCCACTTGCCATATGATTCGAAAACACTGCAGGAGCCCAGAATATCCTTGCTGGCCCTTCTCTGCCGGTGCTTGGCGCAATCGCGTTCTGACAACCTATCAAAGATTAGCTTGCATCAGGTGGCGGGTAGGAGCTGTAATACTTCGTGAGGATACGTTATTAAAACAGCCGCTATTTTAGCACAACCAGCGGCGCCGCTTGTACTGGTCCAGTTGACGACTTCACCGAGGGCCGGGGTATCTGTGGTTGTGAATTTGGCCAGCGATGCATGAAAGGCCGCTTTGAGTCGTTCATACAAGACAAGATGAAGAACCGTTTCAGCCGTACCCTAGTAGCTGGCAGTCAGCCCTCGGTAGAGCCCCCGTATGCCCTCGGACCGTACGACTTGCCGTATGCAATCCAAGCTACCACTATATTGACGCATTAAAGCACCGTGATGTGATTGAGACATGTCGAGTTGCAGCCGGGTCTTGACGAACCAAATTGGATTCGTTACCGTTGCAGTTGCTAGGCCTGCGGCGACAGCTCCCAAAGCATGCACAATGGGCTCGTCAGACCTAAAGCCTAGATACTGAACGCTGAGCTGTTTGCAATTGCCATAGACGTAAAATTTCACAGCGGTTGCAGGGACAACGCCAGCTAGGCTAGGCCCAAGACCGCGGAACAAGCCATGCCACCCTTCGCGTCCCCTTATTGTGCCAATGGTACGGAATGTGTCATAAACATGACGAAAGGGGCTTTTGAACGAAGAAAGCCCGGATTTTGAGTCGTGCGCCGGAGAGGCATATAAGTCTGATTGAAGTCGAGTTCTTAATACGTCGAGAGGTGAAGTGATAATGGCCGTCACCATGCCACCAGCCCTGAGAATATGTCAGTCTGCCGTCATCAAGTCGGAGCTCTGAAAGACCTTACGCGCCGGCGAGCAGGTGTACCCAGGGCTGTACCTGAGGCCTCTTTGCTTCATTGACCGCAGGATGCGGCGGATGAGTAGGCTCTTGGGTACTCAGCTCCATAATTCTACGGTTTCTGGACTTGTAGTGCAGTGCAGGAATGGATATTTTTACGGTTCAAGGTCACTAATAGCCCGGTTCGGTAGAACAAATGTCCGGGAACCAAAGAAGTAGGAAGCAGATAGTATTTACAGCTCATATTGCAACTATAATATCGAATTTGTTATCCCATGTAGAAGCAACCGTGCTAGCTCTCAAAAAAGCTCTTCTTGAAAGCCAGAATAACCTTGATACTGAGGCTACAGATGCTGAGGCTACAGTCGATCGCTTTCTAGAGTTTCTGAAGGTGAACCCGTTTACTGCTTATTACGACGAGAACATATCAGGTTTAGCTATCATTCTTCCACCTTCAGCAGATAAGCCCACCGCTACTATCGCTTCTCTTACTATTACCAAGTTTGGATGGCTAAGTAACTTGGCTGAGAATATGCGGTCAGCTATAAAAACGGACAACCCCTCTTTATGTTGGAGGGTTTCAGAAGAGGATGAGAATCTCGTCTGGTTCTTTGAGAAGGCTGATGGGAGTTTCAAGCACAACGGTGGCGTCCTCTTCTATTATGGCTCCGACTTTGATGCGGATGGCCTAGATTCCTTCTCGACGACTCTACCTGCTATCCATACGCTGCGATAGACGGATCAACTTCAAGTCTCGACTTCGCCAAACTCCCAACAGTCAAAGCAACAGCAGACATGCGGCTCTTTGACCATGACTCGCAATCAAAAGAGATGTACTCGGCAACGACGAGGCTTCTTGACAACTACATTGTGTCGGTGAAAAATCGGTGGCTGAAGACAGGAAGATTATGTGGTCAAATGGACTTGGGCGGATAAAGCAGACTGCATCGCAGAGATCATAGCGGAATCAATCAATCCAGTGTCCTCTTACAACTTGCATCTTCTTTCCTTCTAAATGCCCCAAGGCTGGCCCTTGTCGTAATCCAGGCGACGGCATCCCCATTAGGGATGAACTACGGTCTCCAGGACTGGCATTATCGGACTAGGCGCTCGCGCTGACCTCACAATCGCGTAGCGTCTCCAGTAGGCGGCCAGTTCGTTGGTTAGAGGGCTCGCTGGCTTGATTCGAGGTTAAAAGGGAGGTTCACAGGCGACTCTTGGAACCGGACGTCCTCCGTGCGAGCCGGAGATGGCGTAGGCATAGTACCCATACGAACAGCAGCACATTTCCGATCAAGGAGAGAGATATATAAGCTCTTCTCCTTTGTAATCCTCGCCTTACATTATCTCGTTATATATCCAACAGCTAATGTCCCTAGCCTATTTTACAATAGCTTACCTAGCTAATGTCTTGACTTACACGACACTCCACCTCTCTCGTCCATCATTTAAAAATATGCTTGCGCCCTGTGCCAGGTGAAGTTGCGGGACAGCTTCTGATCCACGACAGGTCCTTATAAATAGCATCTTGTCCCTCGTTTCCCCTTGATCCATACACAGCAGACTGTACATCAAGTATCGGAATGGTGGACCTGTGTAATGGCCAGCGTTGACACTGCGGCAGCCAGTCCTAGATTCGGTCCCTGCACTGTGCCCATACCGCTCACAAGTGCCGATGTACAGTGTCCAGGCGTCGCCCCATCGCACAGTGTCTCAGGAACACCTGCCTCAGCATTGACTCGAAACCTCAAGGCCGGCCACCTCATATCCAAGCTCACTCTCCGTCCAACATCTCTTCTCTGCGCCGGCAGGGCATACATGACAGCATTCAAAATACTTCCGTGCGCAACTAATCCATCAAGCCAAAAAAAAAAACCCAACTCGGCGCCCCTCCGCCCTCAATCCCACAACCCAAACAAACCCCATCGGCTTGCGACCAAAACTCCAAAACCCAACATCACCAACAGGCCTCAGCCCTCACAATGCCACCCATACCGCCGCACAAACACCCTCTCCCCCGCATCATAACCTACTACCAAACCCACCACGCGCCCTCAGGCGAACACATCTCCGTGCTCCCGCTCCTCACGCAGCCCTCCATATCCCTGACGCACCTCATCCTCGCAGCATGCCACATCAACGCGTCCCCCTCCCAGCTCACCCTCAACGACCACCCCCCGTCGCACCCACGCTTCCAAACCCTCTGGGCCGAGCTCCGCGTCCTCCAAGCCTCCGGCGTCAAAGTACTCCTCATGCTCGGCGGCGCCGCCCCAGGCACCTACCAGCGCCTAGACTCAGAATCAGACCAGTTCGAGTCCTACTACGCGCCGCTACGACAACTCATCCGCGACAAAAACCTAGACGGCGTCGACCTGGACGTCGAGGAGCCCATGAGCCTCGCCGGCATCATCAGACTGATCGACCGGCTCAGGGCCGACTTTGGGCCCGGCTTCGTCATCACCCTCGCCCCCGTCGCCATGGCGCTGCTAGACCCGGAGAAGAACCTGAGCGGCTTCGACTACGAGGCGCTCGAGGTCATGAGGGGCAAGGAGATTGCCTGGTACAATACGCAGTTCTACTGCGGGTGGGGCAACCTGACAAACACCCTCATGTACGACCTGATGCTCCAAAAGGGCTGGAGCCCCGAAAAGCTGGTCGTGGGCGTCGTCACGAACCCGGCCAACGGCTCTGGCTTTGTGCCGTGGGAGATGCTGTCCGCCATTTTGGCCATTTTGCACAGGCGCCACCGGAACTTTGGGGGCGTCATGGGCTGGGAGTACTTCAACAGCCTCCCTGGTGACGCGAGCCGGCCTTGGGAATGGGCAGGCAACATGTCGTCGTTGCTGAGAGCACACTCTCTGGGCCCTGTTCCAACACCAGCCGGCACAGATATCCAGCCCAGTGTCGACGGCGAGGTGGACCCGGATCCTGTTAACAATCGTCCTTTGGAGGTGCCCAAGAGTTTTGACTACTACTCCGATGGCACAGACCACGAATAGAGACATGACGAGGGAATAATAGCTAGATTCATAACACCATAGACATTGTTTCACACCAGAAGCAGCATCACTAGACACATAGGTAGAATTGAGTCTATTCGTTCCAAAAATAGGCAGATGTCTAGTGTAAAGCCAGCAACATAATCATGAGTCCACCATGCTAACCCATCTCAACATATCAATATCAATCTGAAAGCAAGTGCCATATATCTGTCCATGCGTGTTTAATCGGTCACACCCCATCAAACATCCTTTCAAACACAGGCAATCCAAGGGTCGCATTGCCCCTTGATGGTGAAGTTGTTGAACTCCGGATAACTGCCCTTCATGGATTCAATGATTGGATTGAAGAAATTCTTGTCAAAGCGTCCAATCTCACAGATAGAACATGGGGGAGTGAGGAAATTATCGTAATGAGTCTTGTACGCGAGGCGGCCAACTACATTGTTGGTGCCCAGATCAGTTGCCTCCAAGGTGAATGATTCAGGCATCACAACCCAGTTTGGAGAAGTGTTATTGGGGCCATTTCCTCCCGGAATGACGGGGTTCTGGTTGAACCACAAGCTGTTGAGCCCAACATCGCGCAGAGCCTTGATCAGGAGAAGAGTCATGTGAGTGTCTTCGTCAATCTGAATTCCGGCGCAGTCAATAGTGATGTTGTAGCCAATACCACGGGCTGGTTCGCCTATGCAACGGCCAGAGTTCTTGTCCCAGACGAAATGGTTGATGAATGACTGCCAAGTATCCTGCCAGTTGATGAATCGAGGGTTGACGCCCGCATAAATGCTCAGAGTACCCTTGTTGGGGTTGTAGGTGGGCACCGGCTGGCCTGATGTAGTAGTGACAGTGGCAGTAACGGTCTTGGGGGGCTTGGTATAATAGGTGGTAGCGGGAGTGGCAGTAGAGGAAGTCATGGTAGATGGGTGATCCATATCGTCAGGCCGAGACGGGGGTTCGTTGTCATGATTACAAACAAAGGCAGTCCAGCAAATGGCATCATGACTGACAGTCTTGTTGATGGCTGCACTTACAGGGCGTCCCCGATAGGCCCAGCAGTTGAGCATGTTCTTGCCATCCTTGCTGGAAACAGCACTGCCAGCTTTGAAGCCATCAGGAGTGCCATCTTCGATGTAGGCGGTCCATACCTCACCATTTGGCATGGTAGCAGTGACTCCCTGGGGAATCCAAGGGTATATTCCGTCCTTGTATGGTACTTGAACGGCCATGTCTGGGGCATTGGGATAGTTGGCAGCAGAGGCTGGCCATTTGATGTCCTTGTACCAGTTCATCTGGCGAGAGGTGGACCAGTCGGGGTGTTCCTTGTCGTCCCCAATGCCGCAATCACAGAGAATGAGGTCGCCCTTGGAGGATTTCTCACTGTAGACCATAGAGGTCAGACCGAGAATGGCAACGAGGCCGTTGGTAAGCTTGGTAGCAGGCATGTTGGCGAGGAGGAGAATGGTATTTTGGCAGAGGTTTGCAACGACGTGGACAACTCTGTAGATGGGAATGAGTAGAGAGATAAGTTGAGAGAAAGGGAAAAGAGGAGAGATTGAGAGGAGAGATTAAGAGGAAATTCGAGGCCGGCTGCCTGCTGTTTCCTTCCCAGACCTGTCACTTACACGGAAGGAGCTGCCAGCTGGCACAGGTGCCACTGGAAAGTGTGATCCGGTTTCGGGGTAAATTATTTGCCCGAAAATCGCAAGTTTGTGTTCAGCAGAAAAGTTTGGATCGTAACAGGACTTGGAGACTTGAAAGACTCTATTTTCTTTAGTCAAAATTTCGATCCAGTTGAATGATGCCGTATACAGCTGTTTCATAACCAATATGGTGGTATGGCAAAAAAGAAACCGCAGGGTCTGGTGTGCGACTAATGCATGATTCCGCGGTCCATTGCCAAACTATATTTAAACTAATTCCATAGAATCAAATAGACTAATACCGCTCAATATCATTTTTAAATGCCTCGAGCAGGCTTTTGAGCAATCGTGGCCAAAAACATGCAACTGCTTCGCCTACCCTAGACCAGAAGTTCATCACTCGTCGTTTTGTCCACTCGGAACTATGATCCACCGAATCGTATTTCGCACTTGAGCTGACAACCTCCTCAACCCGTGAGCTTTTCGGAGACATCGCCAGCTCGAATGCCTTGGGAAGCAATCTCCTAGAACAAAATTATGTTTCGTCGCGCCAATGCCCCTAATTGGCTTCGCCAGATACGAGCTCGCCGCTCCATACCCTACTTCACGCTGGGCGTCCGCCACGAATCCTCGCAGGCATCACGCATCGACCGAGTCACAGCACGACTACCCCAGCGCCTACAAAAATACACCAATGGGCTCCGAAATGCACCGGTATCTCACGTTGTGTCGTTTCTAATCCTTCATGAGCTTACGGCCATTGTCCCGCTGTGTGCGCTATTTGCGTTGTTCCACTATACTACTTTTGTGCCGGTGGCATACGTGACCTCGCATTTTGGGGACTATGTGCAGACCGGCATCTCGCGATTTGAGAGGTATTTTAGTAGGAAGGGCTGGTTTGGATTTGGCCCGGGCGATGCCGACAAGGAAAAGGCGGACGATGCCATGGATAAATGGAAGAGTGGAGAGCAAAAGTACAAGATCCTCGTCGAGGTCGCTCTGGCGTATGCGATTACCAAAGCCCTTCTGCCTATTCGAATCATAGGAAGTGTCTGGGCAACTCCATGGTTTGCGGGCGTGTTGCTACGCTTGAGACGAGTCTTGACGCGCAAATTATGAATCAATAGAAACAAAGTATACTGATGCCTATCCACAAACAACCCGTTTTAATTTTTTTCCATCTTGGCCGCTATATATGTGTATGTCGACTATGGATATTGCTTTCCCCAAGATTTTTTGTCCAACAATTGTATCGAGTGCATTTAAGCCTTCTCATAGATCCAGTCGAACTGGGACTGCTTGTAGCTGACAACATCACCCTCCTTGAACCAGAGAGCAATCTCCTTCTTGGCGTTCTCGACGGAGTCGGAGCCGTGGCAGACGTTGCGGCCGACATCGATGGCGAAGTCACCACGGATGGTGCCGGGGGCGGAGGCAAGGGGGTTGGTAGCACCGAGGATGGCTGAGTTTGTTAGTGATATGCGAAAAGAAAGGGGCATGGGCGATTGCTTACCGCGGCCAGTCTTGACGGCATCACGGCCCTCCCAGACCATGGCGCAGATGGGACCAGAAAGCATGTCTAAAGGAGGGAAGTTAGTGTCTGTTGATCCTTTCAAAGATATCCAGTTATACATACACTTGATGAGACCATCAAAGAAAGGCTTGCCCTTCAGGTCGGCGTCTGTGAGGCGTCAGTAAGTCCACTGCTGGTGACGTGGGCGATAATTTACGAACAGTGAGCCTCAAGATGGTCCTTGGAAGGAGTGACGAGCTTGATAGCGGCAAGCTTGTAGCTGATAATGGTCAGCAAGGACTATTCCAGCCCAATCGTCTAGATTGGGTCATATGGGACCCAGGATGGGTAGTTTCTTACCCGCGGTTCTCGAAGCGGGAGATGATGGGGCCAACGAGGCCACGCTGAACGTTGTTAGCAGAACATAACCAATGAAGCAAAGATCTTTTATAGGAACCTACCTGGACGCCATCGGGCTTGATAGCAATGAAGCTATTTCACATTGTGTTAGGAAGAGGCTCCTTGGAAAAGCTTTTGGAGGGGTAGCGTGGCGGGGTAAACCGAAAAAAAAACGACAATAAACAAAAGAGATTCAGGTCTGGGGAAGAAGCTTACGTCTGCTCGGCGGAAGACATTGTGCTTTTGGGGTTCGAGTACGTCGAAGCTGGAATGGATAACAGGTCTAGAGGGGTTGAATGGACAGAGTTTGGAGCGGGAACCTGACGAGAGGAGAGAAAGTAAATAGCAATGGCAGCCAAGGCAAAGGCAAAGAAGGGGAGGGCAAAAATTGGTGGGGGCAGGGTTTCCAGAGCGCGCCGCAGCGGGTTCCTCTGCTGGCCACCATCAGTGTTCCTACATGTAGCGGTGGTGCTGCTGGCGCTGGCGCTTCTGCTTGCATGTGTGCCTGAAGCGGGGTTTTGCTGGTTGTGGTGGGGTTTGGCCATGATGATTTGACGACGGCGGTGAACGGGTCGTGGTTCAAGCGGCCCTGGACGCCAGACTGAGTACGAAGTATTATCGTTGGAAGGGGAGATACTAGTCGTAATGTGGATGCGTACAGTGTGGAAAACGATGCTGAAGCCGCATGTTGACGATGCTGCGCCCGTTTTCAGCGTCTGCGTTCCAGGTGCGACGGCGACGTGTTAAGGTGACTGCACTGCTAGACTGGCATCAGTCAAGAGAGGGCCTGACAGTTATCCGAGGAGAGTCAATTCCTCTTTCACATCGCGACAAATTCATCGGCCTGCCTGGGGTTTGCCAGCTTGTCCGTCCACTCAGTGCCCTCCATCCTGCCATCACAACCTCGCACTCCTCAGAGTTTGGCGACGACGCCAAGCCTTGGACCCATTGGCCAGTGACCACTGCGCGCCAGTCCACATTGGGAAGCTTGTAGCAGGGGCCCAGGGGACAGCTTGCATCGACGTTGAAACTCGAGACAGACCAACATTGTGCACACAGGTCGGCCCTTGACCTCCATCCAATTCAATTGATCTCATCCACCATCAGGCGACGGGATCTCGCCATTGTTAGACTGCCTGAGCCAGGCTTGGTTGCACCAAGGAATTGAGTCCGTCCCATGTTGCTCTCTTATTTTGTCCTGCAATCTCGCCCTCGTACCGTGCCACCTTCCACCTCGGCCTGTCCATTCCCTCGACCATGAGGTCAGCATTGGGACTACCGACCCGATGGGCAGCCATTCTGTGTCTGCTAGCAGCTTTGTTCTGCTTGATTCAACCCTCTGGTAATACTTTTTTATCAAAAACGTGCCATGGCCTCTGCCTTTGCTAATGCCATTCACCAGCATCCGTCAAGGAACACGACTTCAAAAAGTGCGACCAGTCCGGGTTTTGCAAACGCAATCGTGCCTATGCCGACAACGCCAACACCCACAGCTCAACCTGGAGCTCTCCCTATGAAGTTCTACCCGAAACCGCAAAGTTCAAAGATGGCCAATGGCAAGCCGTGATTCTCAAGACCATCAACAACGGTGAGAAGGCTGCACTACCTATTACGGTGTCACTTCTGAAGAGCGGTGTCGCCCGCATCTCCATCGATGAGGAAAAGCGACAAAAGAAAGAGATTGAGCTGCGACATAATAGTAAAGCCAGAAAAGAGCGCTATAATGAAGCAGAAGACTGGGTAATCGTCGGCGGACTGGAGCTGGATAAGCAGGCGCAGGTCGCCTTCCAGGATAAGTCTCAGGCCAATATCAAGTACGGCGGCGACGACAAATTTGAAGTTGTCATCAAGTTTTCACCATTCGAAGTCGATTTCAAACGTGACGATGAATCTCACATCAAATTCAATGACCGTGGACTGTTCAACATGGAGCACTGGCGACCAAAAATCGAAAAAGAGAAGACCGAAGGCGATGACAGCAAGGCTGAAGAGAACGCCAAGACTGACGATGGTGAGGACGAGAGCACCTGGTGGGATGAGTCCTTCGGTGGCAACACCGACTCCAAACCCCGTGGTCCGGAGAGTGTGGCTATGGATATCTCCTTTGTTGGATATGAACAAGTCTTTGGCATTCCGGAACACACCGGCTCCATATCTCTCAAGCAGACCCGTGGCGGCGATGGGAACCACCATGAGCCTTATCGTCTGTACAACACCGATGTCTTCGAGTACATCCTAGATAGTCCCATGACCCTATATGGCGCGATTCCTTTCATGCAGGCGCACCGCAAGGACTCCTCTGTTGGTGTCTTTTGGCTTAATGCCGCCGAGACTTGGATCGACATTGTCAAGGGCAAGGACCACAAGAACCCCCTCAGCTTGGGCAAAGGTGCTAGGACTAGTACACATACCCATTGGATTTCTGAGGCTGGTATTTTGGATGTTTTCGTCTTCTTGGGCCCGACCCCGCGCGATCTTACCAAGAAATACGGTGAACTCACAGGCTACACAGCCATGCCCCAGGAATTCTCCGTTGGTTACCATCAGTGTAGGTGGAACTATATTTCTGATGACGATGTCAAGGACGTTGACCGCCGAATGGACAAGTACAAGATCCCCTACGATGTCATTTGGCTTGACATTGAGTACACAGAGGAGAAGAAGTACTTCACATGGGACCCCCACTCCTTTGCTGATCCAGTTGGCATGGGACAACAGCTGGATACCCACGGACGCAAGCTTGTGGTAATTATTGACCCTCATATCAAGAAGGTAGACAACTACGCCGTTAGCTCAGACATGCTCTCCAAAGACTTTGCTGTTCACAACAAGGATGACGAGACTTATGAGGGCTGGTGCTGGCCTGGCTCATCTAACTGGGTCGACTGCTTTAACCCCAAGGCAAATGAGTGGTGGAAGACCTTGTTCAAGTACGACTCGTTCAAAGGAACCTTGGAGAACACTTTTCTCTGGAACGATATGAATGAGCCGTCAGTCTTCAACGGCCCCGAGACTACCATGCCCAAGGACAACATTCATTTTGGCAACTGGGAGCACCGTGATATCCACAACTTGAACGGCCTCACATTCCATAATGCTTCCTGGGAAGCCATGGCCAGCCGCAAGAAGGGGGAGATGCGCCGCCCCTTCATTCTCACGCGTTCTTTCTACTCTGGCTCTCAGCGACTCGGCGCCATGTGGACTGGAGACAACCAAGCCAACTGGGAGCATCTCGCCGCCTCTATTCCCATGGTTCTCAACCAGGGCATCTCTGGATTCCCCTTTGCCGGTGCTGATGTTGGAGGCTTCTTTGGCAACCCCGACAAGGACCTAATGGCCCGCTGGTACCAAGCCGGCATCTTTTACCCTTTTATGCGAGCACACGCTCACATTGACTCACGCCGTCGCGAACCATACATGCTCGGCGAGCCGTACACGGAAATTCTCACTAAAGCACTCCGCCTTCGCTACGCATTGCTTCCTTCATGGTACACAGCATTCTTCCACGCCAACCGCGACGGAAGCCCCATTGTTCGCCCCATGGTCTGGACTCACCCGTCTGAGGAGAGTGGCTTTGCCATTGATGACCAGCTTTTCCTTGGAACCACCGGTCTGCTGGCGAAGCCTATTGTCGAAAAGGACAAGTTCTCAACTGACATTTGGATCCCCGATGACGAAATCTATTTTGATTATACTACTTACCAGATTCTCAAAACCCAGAAGAACAAACGTGTAACTGTGGATGCAGCCATTGATTCTGTACCGTTACTCATGCGAGGTGGTCACATTTTCCCTCGTCGCGATATCCCTCGTCGGTCAAGCGCAGCCATGCGCTTTGACGACTACACCCTGGTGGTGACCGTCTCCAAGGATGGTTCCGCCGAGGGAGACTTGTATGCAGATGATGGCGATACTTTTGATCACGAAAAGGGACAATACATCTACCGCAAATTTAGCCTCGCTGACGGCACCCTCTCATCTGTTGATGCAGAGGGTCGCAGTGCCAAGTCAGTGAAAGCTGGTGGTTGGCTGAAGGCCATGAGCCAAGTACACGTGGATCGTATTATCATTGTCGGCGCCCCTGCCAGCTTGAATGTGAAGGAGGTGCAGATTGCCTCGGAGGGTAAAACGTGGGCGGTCAAGGTTGACTACCACAGTGCTGAGAAGGGGAGGGCAGCATTCGCTGTGCTTGGTCGGGTGGGTGCTAAAATTAGCGAAGACTGGAGCATTAAGATTTAAGTGTGTACTGTAGCTAGAATAGATAAGTTACATACTGTAAACTACTTGCCGAATTATCAAACCGAATCACCGGTAGGCGTGGATCATGTACCTTGCATGACGCGGCTAAGTGGGAGGCATCTGGCATTCAAGAATCGTGGCGCATTCAGGGGCGGCAGGGAAGAATCCCTTGGCATCGCTAGGATAGGGGGCGGCTAGCTTGGAATTCGAGGGTTCAACGTTGTCCTTTGGAGCCTGGTTTTTATTTCCGAGAACTTGGATTATTATTAGAATTGAGTTTAAAGTGCTCAGCCCCTGCGAAGTCAGCGGCTCAAAAGATATTTTTGGCGATTGGTAACGCATGATTTATTTGATTAACACGCATGATACTGGCAATGCACCCTGATCTGTTTACTTGACAAGTTGACGGCTCCAACTACAATCAAATCAGACGCTGGATTTGAAACAGAAATATGGACCCCATGATTGCAAGAAGGGCTCTGACGACAGCCTGGCAGCATTAGGTGAGCTGTGACGGGTTGTCACGCAAGTACAACCTGACCCCTGCGGCGCCCTGGGCGTTGTACTCAGTCGGTAGGCCAACTTACAGTTCGGCGTCGCGGATAACAAGAATTTTCCTATTCGCAGAATGAGGTCCCCGACAGCATGGCCTCAGACCATCGAAACTTGTTGTCAGGCCCTCAATCAAGGCACGGGAGATCGTCCCCCGAAGCCCTCCTCGCACTGCCACAGGCGAGATTGGCGCCCGTTTTGGCTACCGCTCCCCCCCCTGCAGCCGCGTTCCATTCCCACCACTCCGTACCAAATGAACGGATGCCGTTTGATTGACTAATGGGCATGCTTGCGTGTCTCACAGTTTGAATGCACCGGAGCGGGACTGGGTGCGGCGCCGAGAAACAACCTCCGGATCACAGTACGACCACCGGCCCACAGACGGCACCGGGTTCGCGGAAGGCCCTGGAATCTCTTTGAGTGACGAGAATCGAAAGGATCGGCGTGAGCTACTGAGGGGGCCGAGCTTCCCGGTGCGTAGAGCCTCAGCGTGGGCTATTCATTGGGCTAGGCCGCGGTCGCTGTTGAAGTCGCATAACCGCGGATGAAAGAAAACCAAGGTCGAGTTCGGGGGTGGCCAAAGACGGCTGTCCCAGACTTTGGGCATTGAATGGCCTGCGACGTCTGCAAGTACTAACGCAAGGTCTCTCCTCTGAAGGGCTCTAACAAAGAAAATTTGCTTGTCCGACTCTGTGCACGGTCATGCCGGCATGGGATAACTAACTAACTAACTAATTGCTTGACGGGCTCCGGCGTTGGCCCTTGCAGATGTTGCAGCCAGTTTTTTTTTTCGCCCCATGTTGTTGGATGGCGTGGCCCTCAACATGACGGATGGATTGTGTTTGTGGCACGACGTGGGTGGTTTTCGGGGTTGGTAGCCAGGTTCCACTGAGCTTGTTATCGACGGCCATCTCGTTGGCCAAAGTCTCAGGCTTGCAGGCTTGCCAAGACACTTGAGCTCATAGATGAGATCAACCAGAGGCCATTGATCTCCACGCTCCGGTGTGTGGTGTGTGCTGCAACGTAAATTCTCCGTGCGCCAGAAAAATCGTTTGTACTGGTAGTCTGTCTTTTGTGGAGCGACGTCTGAATCGACCCGCACGACCTTGTCATCGTGGCCTCGGCCCATGGGGGATCGTGCCTTGGCCTTGAGCGAAAAATGAACTTGACTGTTTGAACATTGAAGAAGGATTGGGGCTCGATTGCGAGTTTATAACACTGAGAAATCGGAAGAGTCGGGGGCAAATGTTTGCCGCACATTCGATAAGTTCAGTACCAAGGTAATTCAGGTACTGTCCCAATAAGGCTTGGTGCCACACTTGCGGTAACAGGTAACTGCCGCTGGATGCTCCTTCCCTAATCTTCTCTTCCCCTGGCCCTTTTCCCTCGAAACGGCTTCCCGGAGGCTAGCCAAATCGAACTTGACTTGACTAGACACAATCCACACCACCACCATTTCTCCAATCCACTTATCTTTGTTCTCTTTCCCCCCAATTCAACGTTGAGTAATTTTCTTATTCTATTATTCCCAACGCTCTTCCTTTTCTATTTTATCTGCTTCGCCTCCAGGCACGTTTCGTTTATTCGTATTATATGCGTCTTCTTTGCCATATTTGTTCTCTTCAATCTTGCCTTCTTCTTACTGCAATACCCTCTGGCTTCCTTGGCCCAAACGACATCATCACACTCCGTCGTCACACAAGAGGTTCCATTCACTGTAGCTCAATACCCACTTTTGCGTTTGCTATTTCGTCACTCGCTCCACATATTGCAGTTCAATTCTCAAAGCAAGCACTGATTGCGAGGTTATAAGATCCTTGGGCATCTCTGCCGTATTTACAGTCATTTTGGCAAACCAGTTGGGCCAACAAGACGGACTGGCCCAAGTCACACAGACGCCTTTACACATCCCTCCTGTGCTAATTTGCGTCGATTTCGATTTCAGAGCCTTGGTACGGAGTATAGTCCATCAGGCGGGCCATCATGGCTAGCTCGGCGCAACCGCATGATCATGACATGTATCAACAAGGCCCAGAGCCCTTCCCCGACATTGAATTGCAACACACCAACCGAAATGACCGTGACTCTACGCACGAGAAGCCCCCGCTGCCATCTCTAGACACTCTGAACTCTCTGCAGCACCAAGAGTCTACGGGAATTGAGACTGTGGCCCTGTCACCATCCGTTCAACGCGCCGACGCGAGTCGTCACATTGATGACCTGGAACTCCTACGAGCAGAGCGACTTATTTCGAACCAGGAGCACGAAGCCACGAAAACTGCATCCAAGAACAGAGCCCATAACGTTGAGCCTGAAGATGCGTTCAACCCAACCGTCACCAAGGAGGAGCATGTCAGGAAGAGGAATGAGGATGCCGCTCTGTACAAGTTCTGGCTGTTTCTTAAAAAGTTTCCTCGGTTCGTCCGATATTTGGTCTACTTGTTTCCCGGAGCCGCTCTGCTTCTGATTCCTGTGCTTCTCGGCGCTTTCAGGTATAACGACGGCAGTAATCTGGTTGGTGGTGACGGGGGTGTCGAACTGATGTGGTTTGGAATTTGGCTTGAGATTGTCTGGGCCTCGTTGTGGGTGTCACGAATGTTGACCAGTTTGCTACCACACATATTCCAAGGAGTTGCAACCATGCTGGGGTCGACCACCACCAAGAAATGGCGCGATATCGGTGCGCAATTGGAACTTCATACGGCACTGTTTCTATGGTTCCTCGCCATTTTGATCTCATTCAAGCCTACCAACAATGGACATCGACGCGGTACTCCTGACAAGGACAGCTCTGGTAACGACTGGGTGGACATTGTGAACAAAGTCATCATCTCGCTATTCGTCCTCTTCACTCTCAATTTCGTCGAAAAGATTCTGATACAGTGGATTGCTACATCGTTTCATCAACGCACCTACTCCACTCGAATTGAAAACAACAAGGGTGACATCCGGCAGCTTGTGCAGTTATTTGAATTTGCCAAGGCAAAGCTGGAGGACACTGACAAGTTTTGGCAAGGCCGTGACGGAAACAGCAATGCTAGTGGCACGCAAACCCCAATGGCCAACTTCCACGAAGGTGCCCGTCAGGTACTTGGAAAGGTTGGATATGTTGCTGGGCGAGTTGGAAACGACCTCATTGGCAGAAAAGTCAACACAAATCACCCTCGGAAAGTCGTTTCTGAGTTGCTTCGAACCACGTCTTCTGCACACACGCTGGCCCGCCTTATCTACCGTAGCGTGGTTCGTGAGGATCGGGATACTGTATATCCAGAAGATTTGAAACAAGTATTCGCTACCCAGGAGGAGATTGACGCAGCGTTCGGCGTATTCGATAAAGATCTCAATGGCGACATCTCCATGGATGAGTTCGAAGCTGTGTGTAATGAGATCCGTCTCGAAAAGAAGGCCATCGCCGCCTCGCTCAAGGATCTTGACTCGGTCATCCAGAAGCTCGACAAGGTTTTCCTTTTCATCATTGTCGTCATCACCGTCATTGTTTTTGTATCCATCTTCTCCAGTTCTACAGCGGCCGGCTTGGCCTCAGCCAGTACATCTATTTTGGGTTTGGCTTGGGTTCTCCAGGCTACCGCTCAAGAGTTTCTTCAGTCAATCATCTTCGTCTTCGTTAAGCATCCCTTCGATGTTGGTGATCGCGTCACCATCTATGGCTCCACAGGCGCCAATATGACCGGCGACGATTACTACGTTACGGAGATATCCCTTCTCTATACAGAGTTCAAAAAAATGCAGGGGCACATTGTTCAGGCTCCCAATTCTGTGCTCAACACTTTATTCATTCTCAACCAGAGACGATCCAACGGTCTTTCCGATGTTCTTCCGTTGCAGTTCAAGTTTGGCACTCCTGCATGGATGATTGATGAGCTCAAAGCCCGCATGCTCGATTTCTGTTTGGCCAACAAGCGTGATTACCAGCCGACTATTATTACTGAAATGACTGGCGTGGACCAGATTCGCTCTGCAAACATGAACATGGTATTCATTCACAAGTCTAACTTCCAAAATGAGCTTCTTCGCCTCAACCGCCACAACAAGTTTGTTACCGAACTGGTGTATCAACTGGAGCAAATTGGTATCCAGGGTCCTCTTCGTGTCGACCCTGGTGGCAGCCGCGAGTACCCCATGTACTATGCTGGTTCACACCCACCGCCGTACAGCAACGGCAAAGAGCAGCAGCACGACATGTCTGCGAGCAATGTGGCATCGCCAGCACCAGCCCCGTCACGAGGAGCGATGCCACGTCATAACAGTGTTAGAAGCACGCATATTTCCACCACGAGTGAAGAAGCCATTGTTGACTTCCAAGATGTTTTTGAGAATCGGCGCGAGGAATCTCAAGCGCGACGAATGGAGTCTATCCGAGAAAAGCACATTGCCGAACAAGCAGAAGCTGAGAAGGAGTCTAGGGCATCTACTACTGGTGCCGCACTGTCACCGATACACTCGGTGAATTCCCAACAAAGATCACGATTCTTTGGACGTCACCGAAGCGGGACTAAGAGTCAACAGCATCAACCGCAGCAAAGCGATATAGTTTGAAAAGAAGAATGATTATGAACGTTTTCTTTCGGGGTTGTTCTGGAGGCCGGCTACAACCATCATCCTCCCCACCTCCATTTTCTTTTATCTTGCCATGCCAGTGCAGATGATTGCCGATCAGTACTTTGGGAAAGCAATGGGGCAAGCGCCAGCGTACATGTATTACTTTACACGACACCATATGGATGGATATATTATTTAGATCAATAGAAATAGAGCGATGACTATGAACCTCCAACAAAGACGCCCAGGACTTGGAAGAACAGAACCATGAAGGGTGACACTGATACCTGGCCTGTTGGTACAACATTACCACTGGCGCGGAACATCAGAGCTGGAGAAGCTGCTTGATCGACTTTCAGAGAGGCCAGGATTGGCGCCTCACGGCTAATTCAAGGAGATCAGTGTGGGAGTGGTGTTAACATGGTGATGCCGGTCAACATCTGTCTAGCGGTGACCTTGTGGAAGATTACACATGGAATCATACATGCAGTGCATGTCAAATGATGCCAAAAATAGACCTCACCTCCCTGGTACGTGCATATGTAGCTTACGGACGGAGACGGATCATTGACAAGCTGGCAGAAGGAGCTGATATTCCAATGTGAGGTCAACTAGTGCGCCTCCCCGCTCGACGGGCCGTTCGGGGCAGAGGGAAGGAGCTGCAATTTGGAGGAGGAAAGTGCAATTCAGCCGCAGATTGTGGCGCCGCCCATGTATCGAGCAGATGAGGATGACGAGTGGTGTCCCGACTCCCCTTGACCTCTGCCTGACCTGTGTAACGAGCGGGTTTCCCGACACGCATCTGTTGTGAGGTGCTGCAGCCGTGGCATTCGGCTGCTATGCTTTGCTTGCTGTTTTGTTTCGCGTCTTGCTTTTCGCCAGGCGCTGTTGCTTCATCTGCGTAGCTGGACATTGTGGGCACGGGAGAAGTGGCAGAAGCGACGTGGTTGTGGCGGAATCTGAATGACTACCTAGGTATCGACCTGATGGGAGCTGGGCGACGAGATCGAAAAACACAATCGTGGTTTGACAGGCGCCGCGACACGAGACGACGAGCCCACAATGGCCGGTCTGCCTCCTGGTTGGGAGTGGGACTACGATGGCCAACGCTGGTTCTACAAATACAAGCCTACAGGACAGATCCAATACCACTTCCCCGCCGAAGGCGATGAGTTTCCGGACTTTGTTGAGGCTGGCGTGCCAGCGCCAGACCTTGCACCCGAAGAACGACTTGAATCGCAACAGCAGGTCAAGAGGCAGACGAGTTCGGCAGGTAGCGGTGCCGACGCTCGCTCGAAACGAGCACATATGACGGGCGCAGGCAATGGCAGCGACAATAAATACGCCATGTCCGCGACGGCTAAACCCGTCAGTGCGATATGGGATGGAGACGATGATGCAGAAGGTGATGGTGTGTTCCAGCCAGAGAACTTCATGTTTCTTGGGCCCGGGACCTACACCGACGTGAGCCCTTTGGCGGAGGAAGAGGAGGAGGCAGCCAAAAGGTCTGTTGTTGGAACCATTGGCGAAAGGGTTCAAGGCGGCGAAACTACTGGAACGACGGCAGCAGCATCTGCTAAAGGTGTTAGTCCTCTAGGAAGCAGCAAGACAACGCCTATGATGGCAAAGAGTGAACCATCGACATCATCACCAGGGCCGGTGGATGCAAGCATCAGGCAAGGCCCTGCTGTTGAAAGCGCACCAGTTACGCAAAGTGCTCACATTGTCCAGAGCGAGCCTATCCCCTCCCAACCACCTGTTGAAATCGAATCCACTGCCGTTGTTGCAGAGGCGTCTGACTCTTCAGTCATTCACATGATCGATAGCCGTGAGATGCCCGTGGAAATGATGGGAGACACAATGCATCGGTTCGATCCCGTAGGGTTCGTTGCCGAGATGCCCACAGAGCATACGGCTGCGGCACATATTGAGCTGTACCCCGAACCCGTGGAGATTGCGGACAATACAGTGCTTGCGCCGGTCGAAACTGCTGCCGCAGCGGTTTCAGCAACGGCAATAGCCGAATTACCAGCCAAAAACAGCCCGGTCGCGGGCAAGGAGGCCCCCGTTGTCGACACGCCAAAGGGGCCAGAGGGGAATCAGTCTACAAGTGGTGAGAGTATTCCAAGTGAGGATGGCACTACATCTACCGAGCAGCAAGCGCCATCAGACCATGTTCAATCACATGGTCAACGAGTTGTGCCCAGCGAACAGCCAACCGCTCCTCTGACCCAAAATGCTGGGGCGTCATATGCAAACCAAGTCCTCAGACAAGATCCTGGACAGTATGGTCGTCATTCAAATGAGCATGGACAGGTTGAGTCTTCAATGCCCACCGAACTAAAGACGTTCAAGATTGCAAGAAAACAGCCAGGAAGTACGCCAGGTACACCTATCGCACAGCAATCTCAACAACCGGATTATCAAGCATATATGCCAGGCCAGATGGCTACAACAGCACACTTGCCAATTGAGAAAAGACATAGTAGTATTGGACTACAGCGTGAAGCATCTTTAATGATGAACATGAAAAGAAGCTCAGTCAGCATAGACTCCAATTCTGTTCCTCGAGTGCTGTCACCAGCGCAGCATCCGGTGCCAAATGCGTCATGCGAGCCTCTATCAACCCAATTCACGAAACCAACGACTGATGAAAATAAAACTGATAATACCGACCTGTCCCTGTCTCATGCCCCATCAGTACTGAAACCCGCGAGGAATAGAAAGTCGGTGCAGGATTCCCTTCCTCAGAAACAAGTTCCAACGCCAGCCGCTCTTGCAACTCCTCCCGCTCAACCAAAACCCGAGTCTCGAAGGTCCGAAGGAATTTCCAAATTCCCATCTGTCCTGCGTCCAGCACGAGGAAGGTCATCAAGCCATCCAGGACAGGTAATTAATAGTTCTGTCCGGCAACCGGACCAACATGCAGCGATCTCACAAGACCCTCTGCCGCTCAGGGGCCGGATGTATCAAGTGAACAATAACCAGACTACTATTCCACCTCGACAGCCTCCATTTCAGCATCCCCTGTGGGCTACAGTATATGCGGATCACCCAGCAAGGCCAGCCAGTGTAATGCCTATTATAAATCATGTTCCGTATGGGTCTCAATATTCAGCTGCTGGTTTTGGTCTCGGTCTTATTCCTCGTGGGAACCAATCCTCCCAGCCGTCATTATCAGGGTGTCGGCCGCCAGAACTTCAAGACCAGCCTTCACCACTACAACGCATGCAGGAGGCCATCGCCAGCCAACCTCCGCGACCTCAAACTGTCGTAGGAGCTATTGAAGCTGATTCTGCCAACACTACCTACACTACTACTATTGTTCCGCCACAACAACTAGTGTCAGTTCAACCTGTTATCAAGGATCTCGTAACAGAACAGTTGGATCGACCTCAGAATGTTCCAGCAGTTGTTCAGCCCAAGTCAGTTGATAGCCAATTACAGGTTCAACCAGCACAAAAAGTTCGCGATGAAGACGCAGAGCAACCTCAGCCTCAACCGCAGCCGCAGCTGCAACAGAAGCCCTCAATATCACAGTCCCAGCTCACGCCGACACAGCTTGGACAAAATGTGGCAGGCGAACAACCCACTCTATCGCAGAACCTTCAAACTGCCGCCAGCATCGGCACGGCCGTTGAAACGCAATCTCTGCCGACCCAGCAGGAACCACAAAAGAAACTTCCACCCTCATTCTTCCAAGTTCAACCCCTTCAGCAGATCCAGAATGCAGAAGCTGGGCAGCCCAGTCAACTGCAAAGTCTCTTGGCCCCTCTAGGTATCGCGCAACGTGCTGGGGGCCACCCCCCTTCTATTCAGCAAGAATCATCTACAACATCGCGCCTGCAAGATACTCAAAATGCGGTAGCTGGACAGCCAAGCCAAATGCAGAACGACACATCACGGCAGCCTCCGGGGCCTCAAAGTGTAATTGAAACTATTCAACACAGCTCTCCTCCCAAACCTCCCAAAAATGCGTTCTCTCCAGACCCCAGTCAACCAGGCTCAAGTCAACCGACTTATCCTGGCATGCGACGAGCGTCTATGTTTACTTCTAGTGAGGTATCCCCAGCTCGGCCTCGTGGAGACAGCCAAGTCTCGGCTTTGGGTTCACCGCTGTCCACGGATGCAGCCCGACGTGGTTCATCAAACACGACTATAAACGACCCCAATTACACTCCTTCACCACTAACTGATACGACTGGGCCACTTGCACAAAATGGGTGGACTCAATCTATCGCATTGGGCCAACAGAATGAAAGTCCTCCCGTGCCTGCGAAAATTCGAGAGCATGCTGAAGGCTCCTTCTTCCCTGTTCAGAACACATCCGATACGCGGGCGTCTCAGGTTAGCCCACCAACACTGGATGTGGCCAGGCAGCAGCAGGAAAACACCATATCCAAACCCCCAACGCAGTTCCAATTCGCGCAGCGGGCTGTACAACAGAAGGCCAAGTATCTCAGTCAGCCAGCAGGACAACAAGAGCAAGAAATACGACTACCCCAAGAGTCAGCACAAGATACCGAGCATCCTATCGGATATCAAGTCAAACCTCTTGCAGGTCGGTCTGGACAAACCCCGAATGATCAGCAAACTGTCCTTTCGCCAGGGTCAGGACATATACTTGGTCGGATCGAGGAGCGTGATGAGAGCGAACCAGGTCCCAGAATCAACCAGACACAGCAAATCGAGCTCCCGAGCTCCATGGCTTCTAGTATTCAGCACTCAATACCAGGTACATCGGCAAGTTTCCATAGATCTACATTACATCATCCGCAACCGTCGGCACCAACTCAAGTTCAAAGATCAGTCCAGACAATAGGGCAGTTACCAATGGCTTCAACCCCATTAGGTCAACCTCCATCCGGCCAGCTGCCTCCTATTCAGAAACCACAGGATTTGGTCCCACCAGTTCATATGCAGATTACAATGCAGACTCAAATTACACCTGGGCAAAGGGCGTCTAATCTCAATCCTCAGGGCCAATGGAATCCACC